ATGGCTTTAGAAGCTTCTGTAAAAGGAGTTGTATATGAAAAGAACATGAAATGCCACTCAACTGGGAAGAAGCCACTGCTCTAAAACTGCCATAAAAAAGTCAGACTACGGTTTGCAATTGCACATGGGGACAAAGAGCTTGCTTTTTTTTAATTGTCCTCTGGTCTGAAACAAAATGTTTGGCTGTAATGATGAGGAAAAGGTTGAAGCTTGCTAGCCGAAGAATACTATCCCGGCCGTGAAGCACAGTGGTGACAGCATCACGTTGTGGGGGGTGCTTTGCTGAAAGACGGACTGGTGCACTTCACAAAATAGAAGTCATCATGAGGAAGAAAAAGGAAAGTGATGTGGATATATTGAAGCAACATCTCAAGACATCAGACGGGAAGTTAAAGCTTGTTCGCAAATGGGTCTCCAAATGGACAATGACCCCAAGCACACTTCCAAAGTTGTGGCTTAAGGACAACAAAATCTTTGATTCTATTGGAGTAGCCATCACAAAGCCCTGAACTCTGTCCAATTGAAAACATGGATGGCCATTAAATTTGGTACAAACATTCCCTTAACTTTCCAACAGTGCTAAATGGCAAATGTTAGCATTTTCATTGTGAGGTTAGTATGCTAATGTTAGCATCTCAAAGCACTGCTCTGCTTAAGTACTGTTTAAATCATGTGTGTGAGTATTAAAAACTGTAGTATTTTAGTGTATGAAAAGCCTTTAAGCGCATTCATCTGTTACTGAAGCAGAACTTCTTGGATCATGTTCCATGGCCCACTGCCCAGTTTTAACACAGGGCTGTTTTAGGGAGTTTTTTTTATTTATTTTATCTTGAATTGAAGATCATCCATCTGTAGTCTCGGGGTAGCTGACAATCCTCCCCATGTATAAACATTATTGTGGTGTCTTATTCAACTTGCCTAAAATGATTACAGTTAATGGGTGCCATTTACTGCAGGCTACTGCTCATTGATTTGTATAATCAATGTTAAAACATGTTTTGCCATGTTGTCCCCTTGCTGGTATGTGGTGCAACTTTATTCAACAGACTGAAACACTCTGTACAACAACACTAACAAAAAATAAAAATAATCTTGGGTTATACAGTACAAATGAATCCCACACACAGACACGCACAAGCCCACACATACACATACAGTGTCAGGAATCTGCATTTGTGTAAACATGTTCTGACATGAAGGTTGAGATACAGAAACGCATTTTATGAAACATTCAAACTCTGCCTGGATCTTTTACCTGTACACAGGTTTTTGGCAGCCACCGTGATGGATTGTACAAGCTCATATATGAAAATGGAGTTTAACGCTAACTATGCTAATTACTAAGATAATGTGCCAGTTAATTTTGTTAAATCAAACATAAATCAAAGGGTAGTTGTTTCCTTTCAGTACACCATTAATGTAATTTCATGAATGTTTTAAACGACTGTGATGTCTGCATTAGTAGCCTGAATTCACTAGAACTAATACAGCTAAAAGGAACAGCTGTATATTGTAACAAAACTCTAACAAATGGACCTACCTTGTACGCTTATCCTACCTCTAACCTAATTCTACCCCTAACCCTCGAACCAAGTCTTTACCTTAAAGCCTTAAACTTTTGAGGTCCAGCATTTTGGTCCCCTCTAAGCTGTCATCCCCCACAAGTATAGTGCAATCCCCAGTTTTGGGGACCCCAGAATATAGTAAAACAAGCGTCCATCCCATCTGAAATATTACGAGCTCCCAAAGTGAACATTAGGGAGGAGGAATTTTGTGTAGTGAAGAGTTCCCCTTTCAAGGGAACTCGAACTGCGTTGGTGATGACACTATGGGAACACCTCTGGGCGTGGCAGGGCTGAAATCATGAATGAAACTACTCCAATCCTATTGGCGTTGCTAGAACGGTAGCGTGTGACGGCGTAACTGGAGGCGTATATAAGCACGTCGGCACACTGGACACATTAGATTTTTTCTATTCAGCAGGCACTCTGGCATGTTTGAGACTACTCAGAAGGAGGCTTCCACAAGAAGATCTAGTTACCTGGAAGGAGAAGCAGAGGAGATGGCTGGTGAGCAGTTCAGGCAGTGTGTCTTTCCATGCCCGCGCTACATCACGGCTGGGGACACTCATGCCCTGTGTGTTTCCTGTCTGGGGATGCCGCATGCCCAGGCAGCTCTCGAGGGGGGCTTGCGGCCACTGCCCCTGAGGGTGCGGCTCTCTTTTCCGAAGACGGCTGGATGCCCCGTGGCTCGCGCCCGGCAGTCGCTGAGGCAGTGTGGCGGCTTCGGTCATGGGGCGCCCAGCGCTACATCTCCGAGGGCAGCTGGAAAACGATCAGGCTGACACACCGTGGGTCGCAGGCGAGTTTTCCCTGGCGGTCCTCTGCATCAGGGTGCCACTGGGGACCTACGCATAACACGGGCCCGAGGGGCTGGATCCCTTGATGGATTTTGTAGAAGCATGGCGGAGCCTTGCAAACATTTCCCCGTGGGTCCTGCGCACCGTAGTGGATGGCTACAGGCCATGGACTGCGTTCCTAGGGGTGGTGTGGGACTCAACAACGATGCGGGCCCACCTGTCGCCTGCACGTGTCAGGTCCATTTGATCCTCAGGTGACCAGAGTGAAGCTAGGCCGCACCATCACTGTGAAACACTTTCAGAGGGTGTTGGGTATCATGGGGGCAGCGTCCAGCGTAATCCCGTCTGGCCTGCTGCACATGAGAGCCCTGCAGTGGTGGTTAAAATCCAAGGAATTCTGCCCGAGGGGAAGCCTTGGTTCATGTCCCAGGGTCCCGTGTTTGGAGCGTCATGTCGCTGTACAATTATTCGACAGACGCCTCACTCGTGGGGTGGGGCGCGGTCATGGACGGCCGCTTTGCGAGAGGCTCCTGGCAGGAGCATCATTTCTCTTGGCACATAAATTGCCTGGAAATGTTGGCGGTTTTCAGAGCTTTGAGGAGTTTTCTGCCCGCTCTCTGCGGTTGCCACGTCCTTGTCAGTACCGACAACACGGCGGCGGTGGCCTATTTGAATCACCAGGGGGGTCTGCGCTCTCGCCCGTTATGCAAACTGGCACATGAGATCCTCCTGTGGTCGTCACGAGAGACTACGCACTGTCCCCTGTGGTTCTCCCTCTCGCCCCCAGCCCTTCTAGGGCTGGATGCCATGGTGCAGACGTGGCAGAGGCTGCGCCTGTATGCCTTTCCGGCCCGAGTGTGGTTCTCGGACATAATATCGCTCCTCGAGGGCCCGCCATGGCAGGTCCCCCTGAGGAGGGACCTGCTGTCTCAGGCGGAGGGCCAGGTCTTTCACCCTTGCCCCGCCCTGTGGAGACTGTGGGTCTGGACCCTGAGGGGGCCCAGTTCCTGGAGGCGGGCCTGACAGCGGAAACAGTCGAGACGCTGCTCAGCTCCAGAGCCCCGTCCACGAGAAGGACGTATGGCCTGAAGTGGAATGTGTTTGCCACCTGGTGTAGAGAACGGGCGGTGGACACAGTTACCTGCCCGATTACTATGGTACTGGAGTTCCTCCAGGAGCGTTTCTCTGCTGGCCTTTCCCCATCCACACTTAAGGTGTATGTGGCTGCCATGGCAGCGTTCCATGCCCCTCTGAGGGATGGGCCTCTGGGGAGGCTTCCACTGGTCATGCGCTTCCTCCGTGGAGCCCGGAGGATGAGACCCGTGACTCAATCCAGGGTTCCCACTTGGGATCTGGCGGTAGTTCTCGAAGCGCTGGCTGAGGCCCCCTTCAAACCCCTGGAGTCGGCTGAGGCCAAGCACCTGACCCTTAAGATGGCCTTTCTCCTCGCTATCACCTCTCTGAGGAGGGTGGGGGATCTCCAGGCACTTTCAGTTTCTCCTCAATGCCTGGAGTTTGCCCGGGGAGGGTCAGAGCCATCCTGCACCCCTGTCCGGGCTATGTCCCTAAGGTTCTGTCCAGGTTGGCAGGGTCTACGGTGCTGCAGGCGTTTCATCCCCCACCTCATGTGACGGCGGAGGACGGGAGACTTCATCTGCTCTGCCCGGTCAGAGCACTGAGTATTTACACTCTGAGGTCCTACCAGTGGAGGAAAGCAGACCAGTTGCTGGTGTGTTTCGGGTCCCCCAAGGCTGGGCTCCCCGCTTCTAAACACATGATCAGCAACTGGATTGTTCAGACTATTTCTCTGGCCTATCAGGGTTACCTTCACCTGTGGCCGTAAGGGCGCACTATACTCGAGGCTCCACGTAGGGGCTTCGCTCCAGGATTTGTGTGAGGCAGCTTTTCCTCACACTTTCATCCGATTTTACAGTCTGGACCTTCCTTCTGCACCCGGCACCCTTGCGCTCTCCTCTTAGTCGTGCCTAACGTTACTGCACGCTGGGGGGGCAGGCGGAGGCTTCAGCGTGGAATAGTGGGTATTCTCGTTCCCATAGTGTCGTCACCGATGCAGTTCGAGTTCCCTCGAAGGGGAACGTCTCGGGTTACGTATGTAACCCTTGTTCCCCGAAAAGGGGAACGAGACACTGCGTCGGTCCGCCACACCTCGCCACGCCTGGAGTGCCTTGCTTCATAGCAAAGAGCTAATGTGTCCGGTGTGCCGGCGTGCTCCGGGTTATATTCTATCTGTAGATGGTCATGCTGAAGATCCACTTTGAGATCTACATCAGTGTGCTGGCTCTACTTCAACTCATTGTGATCATACACAAAACAGATGCACTGGTAACACAAAAAGCCTGTACACAGAAACCAGCATATCACTACTCACACATATTGCTTACACACACACAGCTCTGAGTCAGACCACATACAGTAGTTTGGTCAAACAAGTCCTATCTGTCTCTATGTATAGCCAAACTGTAAAAAAAAAAAAAAAAGAGACCTACATGTGTGTTGTATGTACTGTACGCACATACAACACAGTTTTTAAGTAGACATCAGTGACATGTACAACATTTGCTGCTCTGTAAAAAAACAACTGTGTAGTTAATCTCATGCTCTGTCACTCCTGTTTCTGCAGGCCTGTTTCTGCTCCCGCCTGTTCAGATGGCCCAGACACCAGCCAGCATGTGCACACCCTTGAAGACGCTCAACGACAGCCTCAGCCACAGGCGACGGTACATGGTGAGAGAATGCTGGCATGTTTGCAAGCATCTGAATGTGGAAGCACGTGTAAAGTTGCCTTGCAGGTGGAAAGTCAGTGGTCCTAATATCTGGACCAGCCCGGAAGATCAGAGCAGTGGAAGTGAATGAGCAGTATAATCCTATCCCTCAATGACCGTTGTTTTAAAGGAAATTTTCATCCTAAAATAAACACATTCTACATTTTGTCATCTGTGTATGACGTTCTGTGTATTCTAAAGGTCTAGCATTGTCCAGTTCTACTGAAATCAGGGATTTCCTGGCATTCCCTGAATGACTTTCACCTGACTACAGCCAACAGAAGGCATAAAATAATAATAGTGATAACAGCAAGAGAAGCAAAGTGAAAAATTGTTATCTGTACAAATAAAACTTAAAAGGGGCAAGCCATCAATTTAGTACATATATACCCTTGCGAGGGACAAGTTTGATTGCCCTTTTAGTTGTGACAGACCTGTCATGTTATCGGTGGAGCGTGTGCAAATGTATGAGAGATGTGGAATATTTTGCGTGTGAGAGAACACAGACCCCTTTTTCTGCAAATCCAAGAAGTGATGTTGTTCACTGACAATTGTTGTTTCACTGCACCATTATTTTGGCGTCTTATGAATCCATGTGGAACTTGTATGTGCATGATACAAACAAACACCAAAAGCAGCAACTACTAATCCAACTGGCAGAAATGATTTCATCTCATTGGCCCACATGGAGACTGGATCATAAATACAACATTACATTTTATGGCTGCCTTACTGCCTTACTTACTGTTACTGAACAGTAGGAGTGGTGTGTGATTTTGAAAGAAGTTATATGTAAATGGATTAGTTTTCATAGTAAATGTCACAACCAATTCCTCAAACATGTAAAAAGGTGTTACAGCTGTCTGATTTATGCACATCTCATATCTTCATTTTTCTCTCTCTTTTTCTTTGCTTTACAGAAGCACAACTTCCCAATCAACTACACCATCAGGGTTCATCATAACGAAGTCTTTAGACTGTCAAACATTAGCAGAATGGTAAAAGTCATGACACTGTCCCTTAATTTATTGACCCCTTTACTTTTCCTATCAGAGGACATGGTGAAAGTGATCCCTCAGATGACGCTTGCCAAGTATTGCAATGCCTGTGACTCTATGCCACCAGTCAAAAGTCTGACTCCTGAACCTTCATAACAATAGTTTACCTGTTCCCCCTCCTCTTTGTTTCTTCCCTATACACTGTTTAGTGCTATATGCTGATGTGCTTTAGTGTACATATAAGATACATATGATAAAATATCAAAATAAATTAGTCAAACTTCTTTAACATTTTCATCTCTCTCCCCTCCCCACCTGTCCCCTCCAGAGGTTACAGGTGGAGGGGTTGGATGAGCTGGTTCTCCAGAGGTTGTGGTTCCAGGTCAACCAAGGCATTTTAAAAAAGGTAGGAAAAGGGTTCTGCATTAAGCTGCTATTTGTCAGATATTGTCCAAAGCCAATCATTTTATTTCCTGTGTATAAACAGTTTATGTAATCTGTTAAAAAATTGTTTAGTAGTAGTTTAATTTTCCTTCTCTCCCAGCTGCCTGAACAGTCCTGAACAGTTAAAATGATTACACCACCGGTAAAATCTTATGTATTAATTTAAATTAATTAAAATTGTGTATGTGTCCACTTAATTCAATAGTCTTCAATTCACATTTTCAAGATGGGAATTTATATTGTAAGTTACCACTTCAGAACCACTTCGCTTGTCCTGTCCATATTTTAAACTACCCTTGGCTACAGTTTCAGATATTAAAAGGACACAACATCAACGGTGCATACTGTCTGCATAGTATAGTAAACATTGGAGCAGTTTTAAAAGTATAAATGGAAAACAATGGCGCTTCTTCACCATCACCATCGATCTCTCTAAAATTATTCAATTTATATTGTGTGTGTGTGTAATTGTGTGAAAAACAAAGCATGTGTCTCTTGCAGGTCTCTGTTTCTTTTGACATCTATAAAGCTATAAAAAAGTAATTCAAGTTGATTGAGGGTTATAAAATACTAACTGCTGAAGAGTGACCATCACGGCGTCGTACATTGTGTCGCACAGATAAAATGCTGTTCACACAGAAAAATGGGTTGTAGAGTTTCCAGTGAAGTTGGAGCATTCAAGCTGAATTAGGAAGGCACTGATTGCAAATAACTGCCAATAGACTTATGTCAAACTGTGTTTGTTGTTGGTCTCTCACCTACTCTCTCTCCCCTGTGCGTTCATATGCAAACAAGTATGTACCACTTGCAACAACCATAAACAGCACACGTTACCCACTATTGGGTAAAAGGTGAATGGGACAGCTTCTACTTGCTACACAGTCCAACACAACAAATCAAACACGAACGTGATCAAAGTTGAACTTTCAAATATGGTTTGTCACAGAACAGACTGTGCCCAAAACGTGACGACATTTATCTCAGCCGCTCGGCCCAAGTATACCCCACAAGTATACAAGTATATCCAGCTGAAGCCATTATAAAAACAGTTAATATGAGCCCTTCAGTTGGGTATTATTAAAACAACCTGATAGTTAGGGTCATCTGAGAGCTCATAGCAATAAAAACAGGCCAAGTTGTATTAGCACTGAAAAAGTTCCACTGAGAAATAAAACACAGTCATTAAAAATGATTTTGTGAAACTGTTTGTTTGACAATCTTCAGATTTGGCCCGGTGGACAAAGACATGCGGCTTAGGTTGATTGGTGACTCTAAATTGTCCTTGATGTCAGCTGGGATTGGCTCCAGTCCCCCGCGACCCTGTACGCAGGATAAACGGTTGACGATGGATGGTTGGAGTAGAGGTTGCAAATTTAGCAACTATTAATCAAAGAAATAAAGATAACCTAGTTGTGCGTTCAAGCCACAACAATATACAGTATGACTTTCAGCGTAAAATAATGTGGTCTAATTAATGAATGAATGCAAACAAAAGGTGCCTAAGGAAAACAAAATAATAATAAAAAAATAATGCATTTGAGTGATTCAAGTGTTTTTAAAAGCATTTAGTTTTGACTACGTTATACTATATTTAGTATATACTGTACAAGTCAGAGGCCTGAATGAAAGAGAGAGTTGAGCCTGTTGCTGCTGTCTATAAGTTTAAGAGCATCTTGTTTCAATCTTGCTATTTGAAATTTCAGATCATCCGGGTTATGCCACTGAGACATCCTTCACGTCCATATACCGCTGAGTTGGAAAGACGCTTCAGGGATGCAGAGGGAGTCTTTGTACAGGCGTATCCCGCTGAGGTAACCTAAGGTTCATGAATCTGTACCACAGCTGTATTGAATTCCTCTTCAAATGAAGCAATTCAGTTAGTAAGTGAATTTCCCTTAGACTGTAAAGGTCAGAGGATATTTGGCAGGAGATGGATGTCACATTTATTCTATTTATCAGTATTGGGAGTGAATGCCCTTATCGTTAGAAAATTAAATGCGGGTTCTATTTATGGCCCAGCAATAGTTCAGTCAAGCTGTATTCAGTACACTTATTGATCGTTGATCAGTCAAGTATGAGCAGGGTAATGAGTACTAGGCCAGCCTGCTAAATTTGGTTTCTCTCTAATGGTGACTCATCTAAACTGGTATTTTATCAAAAATCAAACATTCCAGTCCAGTTTGTTCAGTTTGAACTTGAGTACTCTTTGACCTCTGTATAAAACCATGTTGGCCAGCAGTAAAAGTGATAAAAGCACTTTGTAAACCAGTTTATAAATGTCAGTCTTTGACTTTTGGACAATTTATATGTACACAGCTGTCAAATCAATCATCATGTGTGGCCTTGTGTTGAAGCAGGCAGTGAGTCTAATGTCAGCACACAGCAAGTGTGGACTGATCACAGCCAGATGAGATGCCTTAATTTTGATCCAAATCTTGTTTTTTCTTTCTTGTGATTTACAGTGAAATGTGTATTATCTGTCATCAGTTTTACTAAATAATTTGATTAAATACACGTGCAAAGTTGAGAAGCATGCCTCAGTGGGGTTTGCCATTTGAATTATTCATATCACTTGGTATTACAAGGATTTGACAGTTACCAGGCCCCTTTCTGGTTAGCCTCAGGCCCCCACACTACTCCGTTTTAGTTTAATGAAACTACAGCACATCAGCTAAAACACATCTAAAACACAGCTAAAACGCTAGCTGTGTTTTAGAGTTGATCTCTGTCTATGCTAAAATGGGCATGCATGTGCCGGTGTAAACATGAAGCAGATTGTCCTCAGCTTTACAAGAATTAGATGGTCCTCAGTTTTATTACCCCAGGTGGCTGTAATGGTCTAACCTCCCAACATCTCAGGCCCCATCGTATTGTAAAACAGCAAAAATTATGACGTAAAACGGAGAAGTTTGAAAACGCTGCCGACCCCATTTTTCGTTTCAAAACTCTGGAGAGTGTTTGAGTGGGGATGGGCAAAAACAGAGGACTTTAGAAACGATGATGCAGACACTCATGTTTGTCTCTCTGATTAGGTCTCATACGTCATGCAAAGTAGAAACACAATGCTACTGACAGAGTTTTTGACAGGGTATTTTTCTTAAAATATTTTGTACTTTTCAGATAACCTACACTTGTACTCTGCATGTCACCGTAGACTCCCAGTTTGTTGTCCACTGCCACAGCTGCTTTTAACGCCCGTGTAACATTCAGGAACAATCCCAGCTCGTTATTGATCCATGCAAAATAAAATCTGGTGTGGTTCTTCGTAGTTCTTCGTCTTTATTCTTTTGTCAAATCTTCTGTAACTACGGAATAGACTATCTGCTTCATGTATACACCGGTACACACATGTCCAGTGTACCTGAATGGCCACTGGATGTGCGTTTTCAGTCGTTTTAGTATAGACAGACATCAACTCTGAGAGCAGCTAAAATGCTGCTGTGGACGGAGATCATATTGGTTCACTATTAGTGATAAAATTGATGACACTTGGCACTGGCTCTAAATGTTACTATTTTAGAGTTTTCTTTTAAGTGCAATTATTTGAAACAGGGCCCATTGACTGTAGGAGCAGACAAGGCTAAAGTTCAGTATAGACTCTGATTTATATTTACATATTATGTATTAAAACCATCTGTCTGCCTTTTCTGCTTTTTCTTCCATCAGGCCATGATAATCTTGTGCGTACAGTATTGACGTTGCATAACGGCCATATACACTCTTGAACAAAATCTTAAGACCGGGGGAAACATTGCAAGTATTCGCATTTCGTGCTGGTGGATCATAACCGGGTTGTAAGTAATGCTTCAAAATGCCAAAAGAAGAAACAGGAGCAAGAGACAAAAAATAGAGAGTAGGCAATTTATTGAAAACTGCATTTAAACTCAAACAGGCTGTTCATCAGCTGATCAAAAGTTTAAGACCATAGCCCAAAAATAAACCTACAACAGAACTAAAAGTGTCAAAAAAGGACTCAGTAGTGAGTAGCCCCACCGTTCTTGTTGATCACTTCAAACACTCGTTTCGGCATGCTTGATGCGACTGTTCCCAGGAGGCTGCTGGGAACGTTGCTCCATGTGGTGAAGATGGCTTCACGAAGGGCATCCACGGTCTGGAACTGACGTCTGTTTTTGTAAACTTCCCTTGCCATCCATCCCCAAATGTTCTCAATGGGATTTAGATCAGGAGAACAAGCAGGATGGTCCAAAAGAGCAACGTTATTCACCTGGAAGAAGTCCTTGTCAGGCAGACGTTGTGAATTGCAACGTTGTCCTGTTGAAAGACCCAGTCATTACCGCACAGACGGGGGCCCTCAGTCAAGAGGGATGCCCGCTGCAACATGTCCACATAGCCAGTCGCCGATTGACGCCCCTGGACAACCTGAAGCTCCATTTTCCCATTGAAGGAAAAAGCACCCCAAATCATGATGGAGCCTCCTCCACTGTGCTGTGTAGAAAACATCTCCGGTGGGATCTCCTTGTCATGCCAGTAACGGTGGAAGCCATCAGGAAAGTCCAGGTTAATTTTTTTCTCGTCAGAGAATAAAACTTTCTTCCACCTTTCAATGTGCCATGTTTGGTGCTCCCTTGCAAATTCCAAACGGGCAAGTTTGTGGTGTGGGAGGAGACGTGGCCTTTGAAGACGTTTTTTGTTCTTGAAGCCCTTCTCTCGCAGATGACGTCTTATGGTTATTGGGCTACAGTCAGCATCAGTAAGTGCCTTGATTTGGGTCGAGGATCGACCTGTGTCTTCACGGACAACCTGTCGGATCCTGCGGCTCACTGCAGGTGAAATTTTTTTGGGTCTACCACTTGACTTTTTTGTCCCATAACTCTCAGGATCTTTTAAGAAATGTAAAATGACTATCTTACTGTATCCAACCTTGGCAGCGATGGCGCGTTGCGAGAGGCCTTGCTTGTGCAGCTCAACAATCCTTCCACGTTCAACGAGAGAAAACCTTTTTGCCTTTGCCATCAGGAGATCATGACAGTGTGACTGCCTGAAGATCAATGACACGAAAGCCATATTTTTGTGCAGATTTTACCTTTTTATGCCTATGGTCTTAAACTTTTGATCAGCTGATGAACAGCCTGTTTGAGTTTAAATGCAGTTTTCAATAAATTGCCTACTCTCTATTTTTTGTCTCTTGCTCCTGTTTCTTCTTTTGGCATTTTGAAGCAGTACTTACAACCCGGTTATGATCCACCAGCGCGAAATGCGAGTACTTGCAATGTTTCCCCCGGTCTTAAGATTGTATATCACATTTTCAAATACTAAACTGAATGGGTTTCTGACACTGCGTGTGCAAAGCACCACATAGATCCACATCCATTTACTTCACATTTAGTCTCTCATTCATGTGCATGTGTCTTTTCTGTTTTCTTGTGTGGCCAGATGTTCCAGCAGGAACTTCCAGATACTATCCAGGAGACCTGGGATCATTTAACAGAAGAGCCTGACAGAGTGCCAGAGTCCAGCTGGCGATTTGCTTCCCCAAAATCCCTTCTGGACAACTTCTGCCACACCATGCACTGCCTCTTCAGCGAGTGCTTTGCCAGCACAGAAGCACAGCAGGACTGTGAGTTTAACAAAGCAAACGTGAAACCCTGCACGCTGTAACTGTTCTATTTTCTAATATGACTGTACAATAAAAAAAACACAGACTAGCAGACAAACATAGCACAAACAGCACACGCTGTGAGAACAATTTAAAATAAATCATAAAATTGTTGCACACCTGTTCATTCATACGGTAGTTTGAAAGAAGATTTAGTTGTAGAATAGTGCACTGGAGGACAACTGAAGTTGACAAAGCCTTTATGGCTCCCTGTCTACGTTCAACAAGACCCCAGCATATCACCAACAGATGCACGTGTTTAGTGTTATGTTCACTTAAAGGGCATACCATTCTTAAATAATTATTCTGTTAAATTAAGATTTTTTAAATTGACAGACAGGACATGCCTAAACCTTAGCGCAATGTAATGTTTGTTAGAAGGAAACTTTAGGTAATGGTCTGCTAGAATAATGCTAAATTGGTGATACACAAGATGATATTTCCCCCCCCTGATATTCACCCCACTCAGTGCTTCCTGTTAGAGAAGCCCTAACATGTTGAGATTGAACGCATGTGACTACATTCATGAAGGACAGCGCTACACTGTGCTCATGTGGGCTTTAATCCAGCCGCATAGGATTTAATAAGGAAATCAACATATAAAGCTTTAATTTCTATCTTTTACACTATGTGTTTCACAGTTCATCTCCAAATATCAAATGGCAGTGTGCGTCAATGTGACAGAATCTGTAAGTAAACATGCTGCAGTAGCACAAATCACTTCAGCAGCCTAAGTGTGACATATCAGATGGCGATTTGCGAAGCATGACAGCATGACATCATTGTCCTTCTCAGCTGAGTCAGTAGACAATCGCTGATAAGTTCTTTGTTCCTTGTATGGATTTGTTTACGACATTCCTGTATTTTATATATGTCATCTTTGTCGATTCACATCTAAGAAGCAGTGAATGCAAAAGGTGAAATGTGCTAGTGTTACAAAATGATTAAATCTACATGTAAGCCTGCACTGAATCAAATCATCTTAATCAAAATCAAGTTAAAAATCCTTTCACACAGGAAATCCTCATATGACGTGCTCTACCCACTGTGCTTTTAACCCATTCGTATCAGGCTGCTGTCACAAATAAACCTGTGTTTGTGACTGTCACAGAGGCTTTATTCTGTCACTGTAGCTATGCACAAACATCACCGCCAAACTACAGAATTAAATTACAGAAACTAAGTACCAAATTAAGTTAGGTTTCAATCTCATTTTAGAATACTCGGGTGGTCCATAACATAAATCCAATTTGAATGTCAAATGTCTGTACAGTAAAGCCATCCAGTGTCCCACACTAATCAGGTAGAGGGTCACGAAGCTCCGTGGGATAACTCACATTGACCTAGTAAAGGAATTGTTGGCTATTTTGGGAAATACTCTTTTTCACTTCTTTGCAGAGAATTAGAATTAATTAAAATAACACCATTCTGATGTCTGCTCGCTAATTAGCGTAGGATAAAGACTAGAAGCAGTCTTTAAGCTTACCTTTTCCAAAGGTAACAGAATCCGCCTACCAGCGCCTCTAAAGCTCACCATATCTTGTTTGTTTAATCAAAAACTAAAGTGTAAAATGGTAATTTGTCGGGCTATGGCTGGGAGTAGTATCCTAACTTCCTGAAGTCTTCGCTAGTTGTTTGGCAGCTGTTCCTGGTCAAGTAGTAGTATGACACATAAGCCCCTTTACAACAGCAAATTTAAGTTTTTACGCTTAGGTTTTTGTACATATGTAACAAACTAGATATATCACATGAATTATTATAGCAAATAATTGAGTTACAATTATTTTGTATTTAGCTTACAGACACAAGAGGGCCATCCATCTTATCTAACTCTCGGCAAGAAAGTGAATAAGCGTATTTCCCAAAATGTCGAATTTTTCCTTTAAGCACTTGCTGCAACATGCAGAAAAATATACATTTCATGTACACCACAGAGTATCTTTTAAATGTACCTTTTTTCTATACTTCATCCTGTATGTATTTGGAGCATCCAGAATATACTTTGCTTGCAGATGAAAAAAGTTGTTCTTGTGATAAAATAGATGATTCACTTTTTCAGGAAGTCTGTGTGGTTTGGTAATTAGCCAGATACTATTACATTAATATGCTGCTACAGTGGTCCAGGTCTCTGTGGTTTAATCACATTCTGCTGCGACTACTTTGTATGTGACTCCTCAAAAAGGTGAAACCTGAGAGGAAAATCCTGCTTAAGTTTAGTAGCTCTGTACTAAAGCTCATACAGTTATACATATGGATGGAGGGAGAAGTGGACCAGATCCATGATGTGACATTAAAACATGTGGCGAGAGACATTGCATACGATAGTCAATCAACCAGACACTCAGTCGGTGAGAAATGAAGGAGTAAATGCTTAATGAAGTTTCTCTTCTCTTTTCAGACTGTGGTGTTTCTTATTCGAGGAAAGGCAGGAAGAAAGACTTACAGCCCAAAAGCTGAGAAGACCACAGCGGGGTGAAGTTGTCCAGGTTTATACTGATAAGGGATTGGTATCATAATCTCACTTGAGGAAAAGGGAGAGGGGTAAAAGGACAACATTTAGGTACAGAAACAGTATTCATGGCGATTTTAGGAGCAAATGGACTTTCCGCTAACAATGAAATAAAGCTCAATTGGAAGTAAAAACTCCAACCCCTATGATATTCCTATTCTGTCAGTCAGTCAGGATACCTGAACTATTTGTCTCTTGATGACATTGCAGATTGATGCTTTGATACTTTCAAGCTCTGGAAGAGATTTGTTCATGGTCACATATATCGTACATAAAGTGATGTATGATCAGTAAATTAGATAGATTCTTTTCTACGGTGGATTTTTTTTACGAAGGAGGGTGCAAGCTGCTTATTCCTTGTCAGCGGAGGGTTCACTTCCCCTGGAGTGAGGACATCCCTGTGGCTTTGCCAAATCCCTGCCAAGAAAGCTTGTGATGTGCTCCAATAGGCCTGTATGGTTCACCTCACAGACCAACAAGATGCAGCAAGACAGACTATACATTGGACTGTTATTATATCGAGAAAGTTCAAACTACTGTTTTCTCTTCCCTTTTCAGGTGTTGTCTTTGCGTCTCTTTCCCACGGCTTTCATATAAAGTGTTATTTTTAGAACTGTGCCATAGGCGCACATAACGTATTTAAATGCTGTAAAAACAAGTTTGCAAATTTTTGCCCCCTTCCATGTATTTCTCCATGCACAAAGAGTGAGTGTTGAACCCGGGCAAACAACGCCATACAATAATCTCTCTCCGTCCAAGCTATGCATTTCTATATTTACTCTATATTTTGTGGAGTTTTATTTTTTAACCCCAGGCAACTATTGAATATGTTGCTGACTTGTATACCTGTTATCAGTAACATCACAGTCAGAATTTGTTTAAACTTTATAATCAGGCCCCAAATCTAGATAAAATTATCTTAAATACATAAATAATTTTTTTTAAATTACATGGAAACTATTTGCACTTCTGAAAATGTGCAAGTACAATGGTCACAATTTGTCAAAGGGAACAAAATTGGCATCCCAGACTGGTTTGGGAATTTTCAGTAACTCCTTCTTGATTTTCAGCTCTTAACATGTGAGAAATCCCTGCATGAAAGCTGTAAAAAATTAAACCTGAAACTCAACTTAATACCATTGCAGACATTACAGGTATGGCATAGTGATTCTCAACATTCAGATCTTTTACACTTTCAAATTTTAGTTTTGCTCCAACAAATTCTGACTTTACTTCAAAGCACATCATTACATCCTGCCATTTTCTTTTCTGTGTGTTAACTTGTCAGGTGTTGATGAAATAAGAAAACACCTATATTATTGAGATCATCCTTTAGTTTAATAGGCAACGTATAAATTATAATCTGTGAAAAAAGGCAGAAAAATGAAGATGTCAACTTTATTTGTTCAGAATATCACGCATTGTCAGTGGAACTTACAGGCCTATATCAGCGCTGATTCTTGACAGACAAAACTACATGCATGGGAAAAACCTGGGGAGAGGCAGCTTTTAGATCACATGCTTGCATGAGCTGTGAGGTGTTACCATTTGTGTCAGCTCTTATAGAAATAATCCTTCGTAGAGTCCTGTAACAGGATTTTGTATACAGTGGTGATTCAACACTGCTGTGGGTATATAGATTACCCAGGTTACCACAACAGCAGTCAAAGCCTGCTTGGAGCCACAAGGTTAAAGATCATTTGAAAAATGTACCCTGTTTTTATTTTTATTTTTTACAAACATGGCCAGAGAAATAGTCAGTCTGTCCATCGTCCACACCCGTTTATCCCGCTTATGCAGGATCGCAGGCCAAAGAAACAGCCCACACTGAAAATCTTGGGTTGTTAGTTTTCTGAGACCCTGGATTTAAACACATGACCTACAGCTACTAACTTGTTCCAGCTACTAGCCAAATAAAAACATTCCTTTCCGATCTATCTAACAAATTCAGGCAACAGTAAGCATGTTTGCTAATTTGAAAAGTTAGTCGCCTATGCTCTGCCATTGTTGTCAAGACCTGAAGACGTCCAACATGGCTGCTGAGGGGTGCAATTGATCATCTGATGTAATTGTCAGGGTTGGAATGCATCCTTGAATGTCAGTGTTGTCAGTTTTTTTGACTTGCCTCACTTGATTATCAATAATGGTGACATTAAGATCGGGTTAGGTGTTGATAAGCTGGTTGAGAGGTTCTCCACTTCATGGTTCACAGCACATGTTTAAACTACATGTATACTGCTTTGGACATGTAGAGGGCACTATAGCCCTCCTGGGAGTCTTTGGATGACAGAGCACTTCTTCTAAGGCCAAATAAAAACTACCCTCCCTTTTAATGGGTTCATACCTTCAAATTAAGTCTTTTATTAGATAGATAAATGTCCATTTTCACAGAGAGTCCTCTATTGAAGGATATAAAGCCTACGCTTAAGGGTAAAAAGGGCTTTATGTTAGGCTCTTATGATTCATCTATAGGAATCATAATGTATTTAGTGTAACAAATAATTCCTTCATTCTTCCAGTTTGTTCTGTTTTAGTTAAAGTGTATTCAAAACAGACTTGAAGGATAGTTTCTTTTTAGTTTTTAAAAGTGTAAATCAAAGTTTTGCTAAATAGGAAATTAACTCAAGTGAAGAAGCCATTGATTCCCTTTGTGAACATTTTACAGCAGATATAAGAGAAGACATTTGTTAGAAATATAAACTTTAAGTACATCCAACAAGTATGCTATAAATGTTTCAGTTTGGACAACTAAATGTACCGTCCATGACAGTTTTAAGCTGATCTTATTTGATAATCTTAAAACAGACCAGGTGCTAAAAGATGGAGAACGTCTGCTGTGCTGTAGTAATGCTTCCAGGATGCAACCAGGCAAAATCACTGTGATGCATTTATTTTCAGGTCACTATGTTGCAGACCATCAGTCACAGTAAAGTGGGTGGGGTCAGTCATTTATAGTGGTGGGCAGGATTATTTTCTCATTGCTTCATGCACTCAATGTTTTTCTAAAGAGCCGTGTTTGTGCATGTAAGTTGCAGTGGTGGCGACTTTATCTCGATGCACCTGGTTCATTGCCTGCGAATCCTGACTTGCTGGTTTAGTCAGTTTATGGTGTAACATTCCCCTACCCCATTATTACTTTGGGGATAACTGTGTTTATTATGATAGCACATGCAGTTGTTATCAGAGTTGGTTTCAAAAACATGCTCAAAAGCCTGTGCAAATAGAAGAATTGGTTATATTTCCACTCAGCAATTAAGATTATTTGTGTGTTTAAAGCTTGGGTAGCATTTTGTTATATTTGTTGCTTTACAGTGATCTTACAGAAATCAAATGCTCTGACACAAAAACAAAATCCAGTATGCCAATTCTTTTGGTCTGAATGAAATGATTATCTGGCCTAACTGAGCCCACTTTGCCCATGCTCCTAATTTCAGGGAGTGGCTTTGGAGCGAGGCCTGAGGGGAGGGTTGTTCTACACTGTTGCCTTCCCTAACTTTAAAATGAAATCAAGTCAACAATCAACATTGTAACTGCCATGCTTTATGATGTGTGGCTTAACCAAAAATGAAATAAAGTATCAATTCAATAAAAAAACAAATTACAAAGTGACATTTTCAAAGTTTGCATTACGTGAAATGGTATTTAACCCTCATACTTCGAATAAATAATGCGATGTTTCACTTATAAGCCTCAGGTATTTGTCCCATATAGCTTTGAGTTCCTCCCAGGACTGCACAGTGTCTATTTGTGAAAGCTTACTGTATGTATGAAAGTTACAGTTTCAGTTCATGCGTGCACTTCACCTATGATGAATGTTAAAGCCTCGCAAGAAAAATTGTCTCATTCTTCAGGAGGTGGAATGATGATCTTTGAGGATGTATATATATATATATATATGTCTCACAAATCTTTCACAAGTTTCTAATTTGCTAAGCCTGGTCCTCTTATGCAAAAGATGCTCTAGAATGATAATTATTGTATGTATTGCTATAAATGCCTGTTTATTTTTTATTATACTTACTATCAGTTCTATGTAACTGTATGATTGTAACCATAAGAGCATTTTAAGGTGTATTCAGAGATCCCTTATTGTGAACATGAAGTGATATTTCTCACAGCTGTCTGGTAACAGAGATGCGAGAGATTACTGCAAACAGTTGGATGGATGTTGTCTGTGGTCTTTAGAAACAGATGTTTTATGCATAAGATATTGAATATATTTATTTTTTGGAAATGTATAATGCTACATGACAATGCTTTTATGAAAGAAATAAAAATGTAATCGCTTTTTTTATTAACTAACCCTGTGTCCAGAGTCATTAATGAAAAGAGTCTTTAAATACACTGCCATTATTATTTGTGTGATATATTACATCCTGAATGCAAGTCTTTCAATCTTGTATTTGTCAAATTATATCTCAAAAAATAGGGTTAAACAATTAATCAAAATTTTATGGAAATTGCAATATTACCTTTAACGTTTACCTTTGACAAATATTGCGCCTCCATCTATTACTGCAATTTTCAAATTTGCAGGAGGCGCAATATTTGTCAAAGGTAAAGGTTAAAGGTAATATGTGTTAAAATACTCTATAAACACTATAAAAAGGTGCTAAATAGGACTAAAAGTGGTTCATTGTCTCATTATTATAGGGGAACCAGTTTCGCTGCTAAATAGCACCTATCTTTACAGGTGCTATATAACACCTTGGTCAAATGGTGCTATATAGAACCATTAGAGGTGCCATATAGCAATATATTGCGTTAACAAAACTGGTGCTAAACAGTACCCAGCGGTGGTTCTTTAGCTCGTTATCATAAGGGAACCTTTTTTGGTGCTAAATGGCACCTATTTTTTAAAGGAGCTTTATAGCACATTTGTGAAATGCGGCTATATAAAACCATTAGGTGCCATATATTGTTGGCATGGCTCAAAAGCTTCAAAATCCTGTACTAAATGTTTACTGAGAAACAAAATACATTACCCTTTCAAAACCTTTTCATTTGAACTGAACACACCATGTATAAATTAGGGATGTAAGGATTATAGATTTTGTTGGTGGGATTATAATCTGAGGAATATTCACGGTTTCACAATTATCATGATTATTATACATTGATTAATTTCACAACACTACTAATGTATTAAATATCATGAACACTCAACACTAGATTTGAATGTGTTATTTATTGCTGCCTTTTGCTCAGATGAAGAAATCCAGGTTTTTCCACAATCTGAAATGGCATCCTATCTTTGAAGATGAACTAGGCCGCTGCTTTCTTCAAATCCTGAGCTTGTTTTGAATTGGAAGCATAGGCCACAGTTGGTTGTTTAAATGCAGCACAACCACTCTTAGGCTAAAAGTAAACCTAAAAGTAAATCAAAGATGCAGTACTTCTTGCAGTAGACTGTCTTATTATGTTATATTATTATTACTGATGTATTAGCAAATAATAGTAGGACTAGCAGAAATTTTAAATACCCAAGTAATAAACAAGAAGGCTACCTCAAGATTGTTCTTTTATTAGAGACCTTGAGTAAGGGTACTTGTTTACTTCACATTGCTGTATACAGATCAACTTTTAAAATGCTAAACACAGGCTGCAAACCCACTGCAACTTCTTTTTATTTGGCAGTTTTCATGTTATGCAACAACGCATAGTTTGTCCCTAACTACGTACCGTAACCAAATATAGGAAGTCGATTACGTAGGAGCAGGATAAAGGCCCTTTCAGGGCAAAGAATGGGGCGAAATGAATCTGAAAACAATACTAAACTAGTTTTAATTGTAGAAACAGTATCTTTCCTTGGATGTTTCATTTTTGGTTTACGCTGATAGTGAAATATATGCATCTGTGTCTAGAATGCGAATTTTATTTTGAAAGGGCTACCCGGAAGTCTCATGTTTACACTTGGCTGTCCCGTTTGACAGTAAAAAAGTGCGTATTTGCGTCAGTTGTGTTACAAACAGTGCCCTGGCTTCTGAAGACTTCGGACCATGGCCTCCAGCGGCGGAATTCAGATACCGAGCCGTCTCCCGCTGCTGCTGACCCATGAAGGGGTGCTCCTCCCGGGCTCCACCGTCAGGTTCAGCGTGGACTCTCCGCGGAACATGCACCTGGTTAGCCAGCGGCTGCTGAAGGGGACTTCGCTGAAAAGCACAATCATTGGAGTGATTCCCAATACCAGAGACCCAGAGCACGACACCGACGACCTCCCCGCTTTGCATAAGTAATGAACAACTAGAGCTAAAAACACAACGTTATTTTCTGAGTTTGAGGTGTTGCACAGGACCACCAAGTGGTCGCGAGATGAAAACAGGATAAGGAGGAAGATTCAAACATAGTTGTGCTACACAAAAGTAGTATAACGTTACTTCCTCAGTATTTCCTCAAATATGTGCAGTTTCTCGTCAAAACTGCATACTTTTACAAACAACAGGCAAAAATTAAACAGTCTGAGGAAGCAGCTTATAGGGCAAGAAATGGAGCCTTTGACTATCTTCTATTTACACACTTCTATGGATAACCATTTGATATCAGTATATCCCAAATAACTCCATATGAATAGATTTTATTTCTTCCAGTATACTAGTATCTGTCCTGTCGGTGTGGTCATGATCACACGTTGAGGAAAATGTCATCCTTTTCCATAACCCCCTCATTTTGGGCCGTCTGCAATTCCAGACACTGACCAACGCTTTTACATTACATGTAGTTGTAGCAGGTTAGGACTAGTTATCATCATGAGTGTGTATATATATTATCAAATTACTTTTTTCCCCTTTATCATGCCTGAAAAAGGGCTGCCAATTGTATATCATGTCATATTTGGTATTTTTGTGTGATGCACACTGCAGAGTTAATCACTTTTGTTACAGTGGGGATTTTTTCTAGAAAAGTCAGCAGTGGCCCAGCAGTCAAAAATGGCCACACACCAAGAGGCGGACTTTAACCTTTCACCCACAGTCAACCAGGCCGGTCTGGTTACTAAGTAGCAGTTGTTTGTCTCTCTATCAGCCACAGATGCTGAAAAACAGCCTTTTATTCTAAGCTTGTCTTACCACTGGCGAAGATAGTCAAATATGTTGCTTTAGTGACACTAAATGGCAAAGACATTTCATGTTAAGGAGGAAATTGACCTTGCTAAGGCACTCCGCTTGGCATCTTAGCACTGCACTGTGGCCACACACTGCTCCATAATAGCTGGGTCAAATGAATTAAATGATCCGGGATGAATAGGATGAATTTGTCAATAAAAAGAGAAAAAAATCTGATGTTACTGCCCCTTGTGTTGTTGTGGTAGACCACAGTAATGTGGAATGGATGTTGGGGGAAAAGAGCAATTAAATGCTGTTTATCCAATCAGCTTTTCCCTTAATACTACATGTGTCTTTGGTTTAGAGCCACAGCAGCGTCAGAAGGCCGCTCAACTGTTAAACTTTTGGAGCTGTCACACTAAGTTATTATAGTAAGTGTTTTGACGAATCTTGTCTTATTTAAGTAATTGAGGCCCCTGCGCTGCATGCGTTAACAAATTTGTCAGTGGTTCCCAACTTTGGAGGGGTCCTGAGATACTATAAAAAAATCAAAGAACATATTTTAGACTGTGGAATGGTTTTTATGTTACATTGCCTGTACCAGTCATGTAATGTTTAAATAGATTTTATCGGGTGTGTTCGTGAGAGTAGTAGGGTGCATGCACATGAGTTCTGATAGGACACACACACAAAACCAATAATCTGTGTCCAGTAAATCTAAGAACAAAATTAGATGTTGTTCTGTCTGTCGGCAAAGCAATGGTTTTCCTGTGTGAGTTCGGTAGCTTTTATGTTGTTATATTATAGTAATCCCTGAACAGTCTCGGGCAGACAGTTTCAATAAATCAGTCAATCAATCAAAACATTATTATAGACTCAAGGTCCAAATCTTACCCACAACAATATATAAATGTATGCCCACAAACACACATTCAGAGACACATACTTACATACATACACAGTTTATGAACACTCAGTGGGGTGTGGGGTGTCACTACCACCATTGTGATTATTCTTGGGGGTCGGGACTTGAAAAGGTTGAGAATCCCTACATTATGATGTTATAATGAATCCCAAGTGACCACAGGGCTCTCAATCCAGCTAGTCAGTATAAGATAACGCAGCTGTGAAGCTCATGACAGGGCGAATTGGCCGTGATCCTCCTCCAGTGAGTTGTCTGTCATCACTTACCCTCCTGTCTCACGCTCACTTTCTCTCTGCAGAATTGGTACAGCCGGCATAGCAGTGCAGGTGGTGGGTAGTAACTGGCCAAAGCCCCACTACACCCTCCTCATCACTGGATTGTGCCGCTTCAGAGTATCAAGTCTGCTTAAGGAGCGACCTTTTGTCCTGGCAGAGGTAAAACTTGCTTATTATCAGACACTAGTTTATTTAATATCAATTATCCTGTTATTCTGAGGGCATCTCATACTTAAAAGATGAACTCATACTCATTAAAACGCTTTGAGTGCAGCCTTGAGCTCTTACAAAAACTATTTTTAATCGTTTAATAAAAATATTTTAAATCCGGCATTGTTTACGTCCATATTTACTTGCTTGTGATCTTATCTGATGTCACAGTGCACTAATGCACCTTAGTGTACACGTTACTGTCATAATATGAAGCTTTTTGCTCCCTCTCAGTAATGTTGCTACAGGTTATTGATCAGTCCCCGACCAGTCCCTCCAGGGACTGCTTTGGTAAAGAAGATCTGGATACTGGTTTTCATGGTCCTTTTTTTTGTCAGAAAATGTGAGACGGTGGTATCACACATGTCTGCTGTGTGACAAGGTGACGTAAGGAAACGTTTTGTGGGAAAAGTCGCACTGAATTCACAGGGATTGGTTGAATTTGTGTTAATAGTTGCGATCGCGAAATCCTGGAGGGCCTGCATATTCAACGGTCTTTCTCTGTCTAAATGATATACTGTTGGTTTACACTTTTGCATGATGTCATCCCACATCATATGCCTCTCCACTCTTTTGTTTTATTGTTTTATTAATGCAAGAGGGACACTGGTCCTGCTGTATGTAAAAAAAGAAGCAGAATGTGTGCTGCTTTGTGATGTTGCCCAGTATTAGTCATCCAGTGAAAGCCAGCACTTTAATGTTCCTTGTGGGGTTTTCTTGTGAGCAAAGTTAAGTTTAGATTTAGTGTTACTCACCAAAAGTAGTGTGTATCCTGATGCAAATGACATAAAAACTGTTAGTCTGCCCCCTCCAACCCGGTCAAAAACTCCACAGAAAAACTTTCATCTTCTAATATTGTTATTTCCAGTGAAACGGTGTCAGAGGTGCATTCCTCACTGGGGGGTGTCATTACTAATCACTCTTTTTCCATGGGCATTAGGGAGTATGGGACCACACACACCTGTCAGTCAGTATTTCCGAAATATGATGTGTGTGTAACTGCAGTATGTGCCTGTCTAATTGCAAAAATTGCAGGTGGAGCAGCTGGATAGACTGGATCAGTACACGACCCCAGCAACAGAGGGTGTCACAGCAGAAGATGGAGAGCTGGGGGAGCTGTCCCAGAAGTTCTACCAGACTGCTGTACAGGTGTGTGTGTGTGTGTGTGTGTACTTTAATCAAGGGTTACAAAAAAAACACTGCCCATTGAGCTGTGTTTTATTAAAAATTTTTTGGCATAAAAGAGGCAGGAAGAGGAAAATAAATACATTGATAAATGGAATTAATTCATAATAATCAGATACAAATAATATAAAATGTATTAAATAACAGGAAAAGAAGGAAAATAAACCTGTTACAGTGGTTTCTACAGATATATATAATATTTCACTCTAGTAAAGCACTTTGTGTCTTTACTCTGTGAAATGTGCTATATTAAATAAACTTTACTTACTTACTTACAGATCTGAGTCTTATTAGGGCCCGAGCACGAACCGTGCGAGGTCCCTATTGAAACTGTAAAGATTTTCTTTTTTCTTTTTTCTGCAAAGTAAGCTCAATTTTGGGGGCCTAAACATACTCGAAAACTCACCAAACTTTGCACACATGTCAGAACTGGTGAAAAAATTCGTATTTTATGGGTTTCGTGCATGGGCGTGGCAAAATGACTCGCTAGCGCCACCTAGAAAATTAGAAAAAATTAGCCCCTCGTCCACGTTCAACCTACATGCACGAAATTTTTTCTGGGGACATGTATCATATCAAGACGCACAAAAAAGCCACAAGAACCCATACCCTAAACCCAACAGGAAGTCGGCCATTTTGAGTTTTATGGCCATTTTTGAATGATTTACACACTTCGTACTTTAACGAAGTCCTCCTAGGGATTTAGACTTCAAATTTCTGCTGTGCCTTCTTAAGGCATTGACGATGAAAAGTTGTGCTATCTGTGAGTATTCGTCAATGGGCGTGTCCATGGCGTAGCGTCAAAGATCAACTCTTCGCCATGACACAGGAAGTTGTTGTAACTTCAGTGTACATGCTCACATCTGAACAAAACTTTGTGTTTGATAGCTGTCCTGCCCTGAACATATCTACATGCCAATATTAATTTATATTCATAGTGCCAAGTGCTATGTAGCTCCACATGGGGGACACAGGAAGTGAGGTTTAACACTTTCATGCAGCGTCCGAAGCACGTAGCAAATTCACAGCCGCACCGGCAGAGCTCCAGAATATGCAATGCGGCCGCCTCACACCCCGATGCGCTACATGTGTGAGGGCCCGCCCAACGCTGCTTGCAGCTTTAATTCCAGATTAGAACCTCAACCCGAGAAATTTGAAAACTTAAAGAACATTTTTACATTAACATGAGGAATCCTCCTGGTAAAAGCAGAAATGTATGGTTTTATGCTTTCAGTGTGGCTCACTCATTTAAAACACCAGAAGAAGAACTGGCTTCAATTCCCCTTTATACACTTCATGCAATGTTGGATTAACGCAGATTGGTGCATCTCTCTTCATAATCTTATGTATGCATGTACAGTATATTTATGTTTTATATATACATATATGATCGTTGGCACAAAAATTTCCTTCAGAATGAATAATGTTCTTTCTTATCTCATCTTGATGTGGGAACACCTGCAGGTTGCAACCTGGGAATTAAAAGTATGGAACAAGAAACAGGCAACTCTTATCCATTTTAGCAATAAATTGTGATCATGACAACAACAGGCTGTGATGGATTAGAAGCGGGAGAGGAGTGAGAGGGAACTCGGACATCAGTCAGCATCCATCGTTCCAACGCCGCTCCACTCCAGCATTCCGTGCTGGGTCCCCCTCGCCCTGCGCCTAAAACCTTCTCCTCACGGCGGTCTGAAGCTACTGTGATAGAGTCCTTTACTTCAAGCCCCCAGGAAGCACACTGGGCTTTTACATTGTGGCCAAACCGTATAATTACATAATGTACCGCAGACCAAAAATACTTTTTCCCAAAGACTTGTGAAAGAAGCAGCAGTAAAACATTGAATACGGTTTTTTTGAATGTCAAAACTGATTTGACTCGTTTCACTATTAGAATGTGATGATTTTGGTCTGATAACATTTGGAAATTATTTATTTTAAGTTGGGGAAGGTCTCATTATTTAATTTACTTCACAATCCATTCACACATTACATTCTGCAAAACAAATTATGCAAGTAAATTGCTTTACATAGTACCTTTAATCGTGTTAGTCAATCTAATCCCACTGTGCCTCTGTCTGTCTGTCTGTCTGTGTGTGTGTGTGTGTGTGTGTGTGTAGTTGTTAAGTATGTTGGACATGTCTGTTCCAGTGGTGGCTAAGTTCAGGCGTCTCTTGGACAGTCTGCCCAGGGAGACTCTACCTGACGTGGTAGCCTCCATGATCCGCACCTCAAACAAGGAGAAACTACAGGTGATGTGACTGTTAGGTCTGCAGAGGATGTGACAGATTGTTTGAAAAAAAAGTTTAAAGCCACTACATGTAGTTTTTAACGCAATTACAAAATCTTTGAAAGGAATCAGATGGTATACAAAATTGGTGCAGTGTCGTAGCACATTCACTGTCCCTGGTTCAGATCTGCAGGGGGAGGGGTGTATTGGTGTGTCTGCCATAGAAAGAGAAAAATACAACATACAGTAGAGTGGGTTTAATGTATAATGGGTTTAAATGAATGTACTTTGAAATCAGTTTTTATCTCCACGTGTGCTGTGAAGGTCCTGGATGCGGTGAGCTTGGAGGAGCGCTTTAAGAAGGCTCTGCCCATGCTGACCAGACAGATGGAGGGACTAAAACTGCTGCAGAAAACCAGGAAAATAAGTCCTGACAATGAGAAGAGGGTAACAAACGCATGCACTTCTCATTTTCCTTTGAACAATGTCTGCCTTTATATGCCTGTTCAGCTCTCCGTGTCTTATCTGTTCAGGTGTTATCAGTGCGTAAAGGCGGAGTGTTTCCGGGCCAGCAGTTCAATCTGGATGAGGAAGATGAAGATGAGGATGGTGATGACACTGCAGCCTTGGAGAGGAAGGTCCACAGGGCCAACATGCCTGAAACTGCCCTCAGAGTTTGCCTCAAAGAGCTCAAGAGGTGACTTTTTGCCGGATTACACCTTCAGCATTTTCATTTATAACAAAACATGTTGCACAAACCAGCACTCACTCGTTTCTGTTCACTCTGCTCTAATTATCTCTGAAATGGATTTAACGATTCCAACAATAATAACAATAACGATAATGATAATATTGATTGCCGTCGGGATATAAAGAGACAAATACTTCTGAAATAAAATTTGTACCCTAGTTTTAATTTAACTTAAAAAAGGCCTTCAGTCAGAACAAAGCCTGGATTCTTTTTGGTAAGAATCCAACATTTTAAAGCAGTTTCAGCCATTTCTGTGGTCTTTGATCTCTTTAAACCATTACTCAGATGTGGTTTTGTCTTGAGCCTACTTCGTCTACGTTTTAATGCGTGTCTTCACAGTCAGACCAGTGTTGCATTTAATCTTGTTCTTCCGTGTTCAGATTGAAGAAGATGCCTCAGTCCATGCCTGAGTATGCCCTGACCAGAAACTACTTGGATCTGATGGTAGAGTTACCATGGAGCAAAAGCACAAAAGGTAAATAAAGCTAAAGGCGACCGTTAGAATCAGATTCAGAAATACTTTATTGATCCCAGATGGGAAATTCTGTGTCACAGTTGCACACATTGCACACCTCAAAAGGAATATAAATAAAGATAGTGGTATATAGAGAAGTATATAAATATCAGAGTAAAAATATAAAAGAAAAGAAAATGTAAAAGAGTGTGGATATGTACTGTACAATATTTACATAGTTAAAGGAATTGTAATGGTACAGTATTACATAATTAAGGAATTGTTATAGTGAACAGTAATAAGGAATAAATAGTAGCAACAGAGTATTGCACATTAGTATTTAAGCAGGTGTTATTGCACAAAACAAATAATAATGTCCAGTTTAAAACTAACTATGTGTTCGTGGGTCACACACTTAGAGGGAGGAGGTATAAAGTTCCTGTTTCCTGTGGCGCTCTGTGGTGCATTTTGGGGGAATAAGTCTTGCACTGAAAGTGCTCCTGTGTTTGAGCAGCTCATCATGGAGTGGGTGGGAGACATTGTCCAAGCAAAGTCCTGTTCCACAAGCCAAAAATGTGATAGCAATGCTGAACATGTGGTGACTTTAAGATCATGGTGATAACTGTGTTGCATATTTTACCATAATCAGTCTCATATTTTTCTAGTGCTTTGAAGCTTGTCTGCTGGAGCTCTTTGTTGTATTATAACTGATTTAAATGATTAACATCAAACTCTTCTAGTAGACAAATGAAATTATGACATTTCAATGATCAATTAACATGATCAAACATTTAATTTCTTGATCAGTCAGCTGACAAAAATTGTAAATGTTTTCTTTTTGACACATTCCTCACTGAGGTGGCCTTTGAAATTCATTCATACCCTTAAATCAGATTGCTCTGAAATATCTCCAGTGTAAATACATTAAATAAATACAGTACATGTAAATAGTTAAAGCTACACTAATCAATGCACACAAAGTTAGCGACTAGCTGGTGAACATAGTGGAGCATTTAGCAGCTAAAGAGACAAGTATTTTACTCAGCAGTTGGTGGAGAGCAACACAGAGGTAAACGCAGAGTGGATATTAGACTTATAGTCATCAGGTTGTGATAAACACGACTTCAGATGAAGCCAATGTTGCTCTGTATCTGCTGGGTGTGTAAATAACACGTTAGCTATAACAACTCTGAAAGGTGATAATATGTGTGCTTGCTCTGTTGTCCCCCAGAATAATTTCCATCAGAATTCCAAGGCGAGAACCCAAACAGAAAATACAGTGAGTGCACCATACAAATATGATATAATGTGGTGGCCAGCCACAATATTAGAATATCAGGCCCACTGCCAATTCATTTCATTGACATAATAACACTTGAGTTAGACTCACAGTCTTTGCTTTGCTTTGTCTCTGCTGCCAACCGCAGACTGCCTCTATAACACATAATTTCAGATCAGTGGAGACTTGAGGACAGGGTTCATTCAGTTGTGTGGTCAGAGGTTTAGGAGGATTGTGTGTCCTTGATAGACCAGCCAAATTTGCCAAACCACCTGGGGAAACTGTTTCAAAAACTTTCAAGCAAACCTTGTTTCTACTGTCCTCTCTCCTACCTCCTCACTTTCTCAAATACCAGTCACCCATCCCTCTGTTTCTGCACACACTGTCTACATCTTCACTAACTTAAATGTTTTTTCTTTCTTTCATGGATCCACCCATCCCGTCCACATTGGGCCCACACAACACACACGCACACACTTCAGACTGCCTGGACATCCGAGCCGCTCGAACCTTATTGGACAATGATCACTATGCCATGGACAAGCTGAAGAGACGTGTGCTAGAGTACCTGGCTGTGAGACAACTGAAGACTTCACTAAAGGTGCTTCCTATAGATCTCTCAGTCAATTACATATTATTTAACATATATTTAACCATTGAAGACAAAACATTTTGTATTGTATGAATTTAATTTTAAAAATGAGCAGCGATTTCTGTAAGGTGTCACACATTTAACTGTGATTTCATGCTGCTGTATGTCTTCAGGGCCCCATCCTCTGCTTTGTGGGGCCCCCAGGAGTCGGTAAGACCAGTGTTGGACGCTCCATAGCCAGGACTCTGGGCAGAGAGTTTCACCGCATCGCTTTGGGAGGCGTCTGCGACCAGTCTGACATCCGAGGACACAGGTGTGCTCATAAAATAAGATTTCAGTTGTACTGAAGGTTTATAACAGCACAGGTTTTATGACCAACATGAAGTGTCTTAGTATGGAGTCCAGCTGCCACGAGTCTCTAGAACAGCTTCAGTGCTCCTTGCCTGTGGAAGTCTGTGGGACTCTATTGGAGGGATAAAAACCATTTCTCCACAAGATATTCCCTCTTTTATATATACCACCTTTATTTAATCAGGTCATCTCATTGAGATCAAGATCACTTTGGCAAGAGAGACCTGAGCACAGCATATAGAAAGAAAAACAACCCTAGCCAGACATAATATAAGGACATATAGCATCAGAGACAGTCACAGACATAGCTGAATAGATTTGAAGATAAAATGGTGTTATGGAGATGGTGAGGGGGAGCATTGTTTTACACGTCGGTCCCAAAATCTTCCATACATGTGAAGCTGGGTTGAGATCGGGTGACTGTAAAGGCTGTAGCCTTTTATTCACTTCAATCGTTTTCATCCTCACCAAACCATTCAGTGAGCCTTGGCGCACGGAAGCATCTGCATTTGATATCTTCCTCCACTTTTTTATTCAGGTTTTTATTTGAATTTGTCCCCCTGTATGTATCTCATCTGTATGTCCAGAAACATCTCAAAGATAAGAATGTATGGATTTACATTAGAAGCGATTCATCTTTTGAAAATCCCATATGTATTGAACTGAAAGCCTTTGATCTTAAGCAGCATGTCATTTTGTAATCTAGTTCCAGCACACAGATAATTGAAACACTGGCTAGAATAGTGTGCCGCAGCAGTATAAGGATATTGTTTTGGTAATGGAGCTTACGTTGACTCTGTGGACGTTTGTTGGAGCACAGCGCTCTCTGCTGCTGAGTGGAACATGATCCCTCATGAATTGAAGTGTTTGGATTACTTTTCAGTCATGGTCATCTCTCTGACAAAACAACAAGAAGAATGAAGCTCAGTTTGAAAAATAACCTGTTTTCTCTTAAGTTTTTCTAAAAAAAAAAAAAAACTCTTGGAGAGGAGTAAATCTTTCTTTATTCAGTCCATTTGTAGCAGTTGGACACGCTGGCTTACGCTTGGAAAATCCTGCCAGACTGTGCAAATTCAGATGTGCATGTTATGGTCCTATAGATGAAAGGCAGCAGAGCTTCTAGCCTGAGGTGAGGAGATCTGACTCCCACATTCAGAGGATGACATGATGACTTGTCCTCTGACAAGTAAACTACTTGTCAAATTGCCACATCAGAGGCGAACATGTTAGGACTTGTCAGTTATGCCAAGAACAGTTGAATCAAGGCAGGGCAGCCGAGTTCATCTCAGTTTGCAGGGCTGATCCTGAGGTTTTAACGGAAGAAAGACACCTTCCCTCGGCCAGATGAGAAACATCAACAGCGGGAGTGCAAGAATAAAGTTCTTTAATGGTCGATTATAGAATTAGTTCAAGTCAGTTAGTTCAACAACAACAAAACATTCTCCGAAAAGTAGACAGCTCCAGTAGTTTCTTATTAACAGTTTTGCTGTTTTAAATTTTCTTTTTTCCCTTTTATGTGTTTCTTTCATTTCCTTTCTTTGAACCCCAGAAACTTCACATTTCATGCTTTCAGCTTGCAAACACTTGAAACTTGCTTGCATTAGGTAATTTGGTATAGAAAACATTGTGTCAACCAGTTTTAATTTAGTTGCGTGGTAATGCAATGCATACTTCTGGAATAACTGCTTGATCGACTTATTTACAATAATAACATATGACATGACAAAAATGACGTATCTGATTATGTGAACAAGACATGATGTTCACCTTTACATATATATTTCTGCACATTTCCGTTGACATCAGGAATAAAGTTCTGTGTGCCTTCAGATTGATCGGAAACGTTTACACTGTAGGTCAGTAGTTTAAGTCCTTACCATTTCTCCAGACGCACATATGTGGGGAGCATGCCCGGCCGCATCATCAACGGTTTGAAGACAGTAGGAGTCAATAATCCTGTCTTCCTGTTGGATGAGGTGGACAAACTTGGGAAGAGCCTCCAAGGAGACCCTGCAGCTGCACTGCTAGAGGTCAGCTCCTTTATCTCGTTTATCTCGCTCATTACTTGTGAGGTAGTATTCCATTTCTTCACCAAATAAATGTTTGTGTTCCTCTGTTTGTTCTGTAAACCAATTCATGACAAACTCAACTAGCCTTTTTACACACACACACATACTCTCAAACTGTCTCTACATGTCCCCTTAGGTCTTGGACCCAGAGCAGAACCACAGCTTTACAGATCATTACCTCAACGTGGCCTTTGACCTCTCCCAAGTGCTCTTTATTGCCACTGCGAACACCACAGCGACCATTCCCCCTGCCCTGCTGGACAGGATGGAGGTGCTGCAGGTACCAGGTGGGTTTAGGTGCAGAGAGGAACCACCTCTGCAGTTGATCTTGAGGAGAAACTCTTGCTCAAGTGACATAACTAATCCCAAGCATAGGGCATCTCTATATACTACAGTATAGTCAGGGAACTGATGAAACAATGTCCAGCTGCATATCCACTAACTATTGGATACATATAAACGTGCACACACAGGAACACCACAATCACTGCTGCCATGTTACCAGTGATTAGATGTATTACTATTAAATTATAAAGATAATATATATTAATATTACTAATTAATGCCTTCAGATAACTAAGTAGTTATGTTACTTACACTCATGATACAGTATAGTCCATGTTCTTTGCACTCACTGTGGATTTGTCTGTAGCCATGAACTGGTGCTATACACCACAGTTTGATGGCAACACAATCCTATGTTCTCTAAATCATGTTTAAGGGACGTCATAGATAACACAGTGTTGTGTTTAACAGTCATAACCCAAAGTATATCTGTGTATCTCAATCCAAGATCCAAATAGATCTGCATTAAATTCACACAAGAGTGTTGAGGGGACAGTCACAAATGAACTGTAGATGATGATTATTACCTACAATCAAGGAAAGATCTTCTATTTAAAAGTTAAGGACATTTCTATTTGGAAATACACTGCGTTGGTATTTGTTAGCTGCTAAACGTCAGAGTGCTTTTTCAAAACTGACCTGACCAGCTACAGTATTCTGCAACTTCAGTTTCTGCCGCTATACTATTAGTTTGAGTGAATTAATGAAGTAATTTTAGGGCATGGGTTTGTAATTTGAGAGAAGAAAGTAGTGATTTTGAAAGATAATTAATTATTAAAGGAGAACTCAACCAAATTATATATATATATATATTATACACATCAAAGTCTGTTTACAGGTTTTGGGGAGTAGTACTACATATGTCAAAAAGCTGTAAAAAGCCTTTTGTGGCCCCTGGCAGCTACTTTAGTCGCCCAAATTGCGGGTAATGTAGGGGCCAGGTTTTGACAAGTAGGAAGAATGTGTGGAATAAAAAAGTCTTCGCTGCATTGATTTAGATTAAATTGTCAATGAGTCTGACAATGTTACAGGAGTACAATGATAAATTGGGGGAAGGGTTCTTTTAATTCATTAGTATGACTAAGTACGAGTTATCAGAGAGAGAGAGAGAGCGAGAGAGAGGTTTAGGTTAGGTTTAGTTTAAGGTTAGGGGTTAGGATTAGGCAAGTAGTGGTTATGGCTAGGGTTATGCAAGTCAGTGTAATGTCCCCAATGTGATGGAAACACGACTGTGTGTGTGTGTGTGTGTGTGTGTGTTTCAGGCTACACCCAGGAGGAGAGGGTAGAGATAGCTCACCGTCACTTGATCCCAAATCAGCTGGAGCAACATGGATTAACGCCTCAACAGCTTCATATACCACAGGACACCACACAAGATATAATCAGCAGGTACACACAAACACATGCAGTGCATAAAAAAACCAAAATGAGAAAATGAACCTAACTAAAGTTAAGCTTAACTTAATTATGGAGGTACACAGCCACATTGTATGTGCACCTCTTGTCCTAACTAATTTCATTTTCTGGATGAATCAGTGAAGAAATGTGGCTCTCCTTGCAGACAGCGCCACATTCTGTCCAGCAGTTGAGCTGAAATGGGGTTCAGAAAAATGACAAAATGTTATCGTTTTCCCAGTTCTTCTTTTATTCTACAAGGACATTACAATGTATCGACCATGAATGCTCTTCCTAAGGTAAAGGCGAGTGTGTGAACAGACCTGTATTTATAGATGAGCAGTGATGACATCATCAGTCAGCTGTCAATTGGGTAATTGATGATATATTTGAGGACAATGTGCCCGTGTATGTCTCACACTAACCATGTACATCAGGTGACAGTGAGCCACTATGAACAATACCAGGACCCTGAAACTGGAGTACCTAAATGGAACTGACCATTTACATTATTAATCAAACCTTTTCCTGTTATGACATATCCAAACATCGACCATTAAAAGTGAGCTCCTGTTATTCCCTGTATACCTCCATTCCCCTTCCTCCTGAGCACAGGAACAATCACATCAACACTGCATCAAAAATACAGGATAAATACAGTTCATAATAATAAATATTTCTATATATACATTATATATGATATATTAATAGATGTTCTTAGTTATATATATATATATATATATAATTCTGTGCCATATTTGTAGATTAATGCTTGTGAGTTAACAAACAGCTAAAATGCTAAAAAAAACCTAACAAGAACACATTCCTCATAACAAAAAGTAAATACATTTTAAAAGTAATAGAGCACTCTTAACCCATCAAATCTTAAATGTTAAGCCTCATCTATAAATACGATTGTGTTGACATCCTCACCTTTACCTGAGGATGTCTGTGTAGAATAAAAGAACTGGGAACAAGATAGCAATGTGCAGGTAGATTTTTAGACTGTAAACACAGTATGCTACTGACGCAACGACAGGAGGAAGAACTGAATAAAATTAGACTAAATTGCCCAGATTTAATGTTGCATGCTCACTGCTGAACAGCTTCTACATTTAGTCTGGGAAGGACAGATCCAGTGTGTGGTGTGTGTGTGAAGCAGCGCCGTCAGCCAGCCAGCAGTTCACATCTGAGGCTAACTTTGAATTCTACTTCTGGTCACCAGAGCATATCATTAAGTTGTCAAGTGGTTTAGTGGCTGTTTGTTTTGTACGCTGATCGGTACTTCTCTGGCAGGGCGACCTTTTCATTTAGAGAGAACATCTTTGCAGTCGCCTGTAGCTGCAGAGTGTGCTGGTCTGTTTAATTTCAGATCAGTGTTGTCCTCCATCGTGGTAAATCTTTCCTGCACCATGGAATCTGCTCAGGTGCAGGTTTGAGTCTTGCTTAGGATCTCCCACAATTGTTTGCTGTTTAATGTTATGAAACAGGTTAGTGTGAGTTACAGCTGCAACTGATGATTGTTTTAAATATCGGTTATTCTGTCGATTTAGCTTCTAATTGATTGCTTAATTATAAAATGTCAGAAAATGATGGAAAAAATGCTGGTCACATTTTTTTAAGCCAATGTGACATCTTTAAATAGCTTGTTTTGTTCCATTAATATTCCAAATACGTTCCAGTTATAGTATCAAAGTTTTTATTTAAAAAGCTGCAGATCCTTACATTGGAGAAGCTAGAAGCATTTCAATTATCCATCAATTGACTAATCTGTTGTGTGTGATTTGTAAAATTGGTAGGTAGGCCAACATGGAGCTTCTGATGATATAGAGGCTTCTGGTTTTTAAGTTGCAGTGTGCTGTCTGCAGACCTGCAGAGCCTCTGTACAACACTCGCTGCACTCCAGTCTGGTTACTATAGAAACAGCCAACAGCGCACAGCTTGGAGCTCATGCTTTCGAGGGATACTCTTGAGTTTACTAGATCTCTTTTTAAAAAAGAAACAAAAGTCAGAACAGAAAAGCCAGGCAGGTTGACAAAAGTGTCAGACTGGGCCTCGCTCACAGTATGAGATGTGAGTCTTGTCAGGTATTTTAGCATATAAATGCAGTTAATATTTAATCTCTGTCTAATTTGAATTTTCCTTTGTTGATTTGGTCATTCATGATGCAGGACTAATGCAAGTTCTCAGGATTTTTAATTCCCACGCAGGGCACTACAGTCGCAAATGTTGTTCCTGACCACCAGCAACATTAAAATTGACTGTGTTTTGTGTTCCTGATCACACCGCTGACCCACACACTGATCATTAATACACACCTAGCAACTCTCCACGTCACTTTATTCACCTGTTGTATTTTCTTTTAGGTACACCCGTGAGGCAGGCGTGCGCTCTCTAGAGAGGAAGATCGGGGCGATATGCCGAGCCGTGGCTGTGAAGGTCGCTGAAGGTCACATAGTCACCAATACAGAGGCTTTGACCCCCGAGGGCCCGACACAGCAGGGAGGTAAGAGCCTGAGCTCTCTTGTCTGTTTTCTGACAAGAGAGCTGTGTCTCTGTGGTCAGACTGGACTTGTGGGAGGCAGAAGGTCAAATCCGTAGTTGTATTTCAGCACAGACCTGCACTCCCACTCACAATAACACATATACACATCTACTTCCGTGTGTATACATAAATTACATAAAGTACATACATTATGAGTGAATAAAAAATGTTATTTGGAATCAAGTTATGCCCTAAAAACAGTGCTCTTAGTAGATAGACCAAAAAGCATTGTGTGACCTGATACATTAATAGATTAACTGAAACACCATAAATTAGTGATTTAACACACAAAACAAAAGCACTAGCAATGTTGAGAAACAGGGCCTGGTGAAAAGGGAGAGGAGCACACTTTCTTTCTTAGTGCTCAGGTTGGAAGGGATGGAAGTGTATGGGAATTAAATGATGTCACTTATCTCCATGTACCAAGAGGCCTTTCTCATGTCATTAATAATAAATGATCGGTCTGTTCCATTTAGGTGCTCCAGTTTCAGGGTCCCGGTATTGTTCCTCATGGTTCACTGGGACAGCGTTAATGTAGTTGCACCTGTGCTTTTCCTGCTAGGATAAGTCAAAATCTTTGCCATGATAAAAGTTAATGTGAATGATAATGCTGTAAGTTGTGATGTCAGTCAAGCACAGTCTGAGTTTTCTGTCAGTCTGTGTCGAGAAGAGCTCTAATTAGAAAGTTAAAACGTGTGTGTATGTGGGGGGGTGTTCCGCACATAAAGAAACCGCTGTTCAGCACAAGGTGGCGCAAGTCCATTTGAAAACGAATCTGCAAAACTGACCAGAGTATAAAAAAGGTGCAGTATAAAGGCTGTTAAATAGAAGTAACAAACCTACAATGTATTCATCAGCTTTGAATATATACATAATACAACATATATAATACATATAGTCTGTCTTTTTGTGAGCAACAGTAATAAAATTTAAACACAATATTTAATTCTCAGCTGCTAGATGTCTGATGTATCCTTGTAAGTAGAACATGATGTCTCTCAGTAGCTGTGTAATGAGCTGGATAATGTGCAGCCAGCTGGTCTTTATTACAAAATAAACCCTGTTAGGTCTTCCGTCAGCATGTTTTGTGGAGACTAGCTCATTGTACATCATCTCTTACAAATGGGGTTATGTCATTAGAAAGTCAGACTCTGTTTTAATTTCTCTGCAGGACTCCCAGTAGATTAAAATGTGTCTCTGAGAGATTCTGGTGAAACAGCAGATTACTGAAAAACATTATTTGGACACCACTGGCTATACTACAAAATTCTACCAGGCTAAAGTAATACTATAAAGCACTGTAACTTAGTAGACATGTAGACAAAAATTCAAATCAGTTTAGAGAGAGTGACTTAAGAAAAGAGAAATGGGATGAGAATGGGGATAAACAGGATATCAGCGGTTGTTTTGTGCTGCTTTGCAGAAAAAAACCCTCTGTGTTGCCAGGTAACTAACGCAGCACAAACACTGGGGAGGTGCGTGCAAATGATGTGTGTTCCGTGTTTTGCATTTTTCCAGGGGGATGGTGTGTGTTTAATGTCTCTGTTCACTGTTTGTAGTATATCTTTGTGTTTGGCTTTATGTGCACCTTCGCATGTGTACCAACTGAATTTATAATAATTATTCATTTAGCTGACGCTTTTTTCCAAAGCGACTTACAGTTAATATATCAGAGGCCTCTGGAGCAACTACGGGTTAAGTCCACAATGGTGGATGGTTCGCAGTTGGAATTGAACCCATGTCTCCCACAACAAAGGCATGTTTCTTATCCACTGCTCCATCGCCATGATGTAGTGTAAAAGCGCTTTGAGTGGTCGAAAAGACTAGAAAGGCGCTATACAAATACGGAGCATTTACATTTACATTTACACCCCTCCCAAGTTGCAGGCCTTTCTTCCATAGTTTTGTTTCTCTATACAATGCAGTGCCTTTATGTGCACTTATTCTTCACACTGCGGTCACCTGATTCCACAAACATGGGCGTACATGAGAAACATTTTTCCTTTCATCTGGTATTTACCGTCTGATTCTCATACACGAAATGTAAAAGAAATCAGTACACCTAACTGAACCTCTCCACTGGATTCACTTAATTTTATGTGTGTTCAGACAAGGCAGCACCTCCTGAGATGCCCATAGTGATCGACCAGATTGCCCTGAAAGACATCCTGGGACCTCCGCTGTTTGAAATGGAGGTAGGCAGGACACCAGCAGAGAGCGGAAGTGCAGCGCGAGACAGACAGACCAGCATCTGCAGAGAATAAGCAGTGTTCATCATGCTCAATTACAGAAACCTGTGGCTGTCTGAACTTTCTGGACCACTCTCACAGCTCATGAATACAAAGTCAGCCACTTCAGACCTCATTATACAGTATAATGTGAAAAACAATGTAGAGTTTGTCTTCTAGCAGGCGTCTTCTTTGTCCTCTCTCTCCCTCCTTCACTATCGAGTCATGTTGGCCTTATGTTTCACATTCACTGAATTTTTGAAGATTACAAACTTTTATTATCTTCTGATTATTACACCTAAATACAGCTTTATGGGTGTTTTGTGTGTGTGTGTGGTGGAAGGTTTCTGAGCGGCTCACCCTGCCCGGTGTGGCTCTGGGCCTGGCCTGGACGCCCCTTGGTGGGGAGATCATGTTTGTGGAGGCCAGTCGAATGGAGGGAGAAGGTCAGCTCACTCTGACTGGTCAGCTGGGAGATGTTATGAAAGAATCCGCCCATCTGGCCATCAGCTGGCTCAGAACAAACGCTAAAACTTACCAGCTCACAAACAGTGAGTTCACACAAATAAATATAGTATTATGTAGTGTATATATACTGTCTTTACAGAAATAAGGCAATTGTGAATAGGCTAATTTACATGCATTTGCATTTGTTTGAACAGTGGTGGGGGCTCCAGATCCGCTTGAAGGGACAGACATCCACCTCCACTTCCCGGCTGGAGCTGTAACCAAGGATGGCCCCTCTGCAGGTGTTACTATAGTAACCTGCCTAGCCTCGCTGTTCAGCGACAGATTGGTCAGATCAGACGTTGCCATGACAGGAGAGATCACGCTTAGAGGGCTGGTGCTGCCGGTGAGTTATCACATTTAACACGTAACAAAATGCAAATCTCTCCTCGGTTTTAACAGACTGGATTGGTCTGTCCACCTCAGGTGGGCGGGATCAAGGACAAGGTCCTGGCGGCCCACAGGGCAGGAGTGAAGCGAGTCATCCTCCCTAAACGCAACGAGAAGGACCTCGAGGAGCTTCCGGCAAACGTCCGAGCTGACCTCGACTTTGTCAGCGCCGGAAACCTGGACGAGGTGCTGAACGCCGCCTTTGATGGAGGGTTCCCAGGGACAGCCAGCACGTGCACACACACTCAGCTGACCAGCAAACTGTAACACACTGATGCAAACACACACACACACACACAAATGCGCTGACGGTGTGAAGTGAAGAATAGTCCTGAATAAGAGAGCACGTCGTGTTTCAGCTTTGACATCTTGCACTCTAATGAGTTGTTCCCTGATAGGCAGTGAGTGTGCACATCTTTAATCCTGACCAGATAATCTGAGGTAAATGAAGCTACAATTCAGAGTCAAACCCTGTAGGAGAATTCAGCTTACAGTACAACAATGTGAAGTTAAACTGTCTAGGGTCATTTGGTGTTGCACTTATTAATTTAGCTTGATTGATAGTGTTTGTGCTGAACAGTAAGCAGTCTGCTGAGATGGTTTGTGTATGTGACAACAGAAGCAGATGAGATGTGTTCAGATGGTGTAGATACCTGCAGACTGTTTGAATGACTGTTTAAACATGCATTGTAATCCAGTGTAGCCTGGTTTTAACTATTTGGTGGATGTTTTACCAGTTCTTGTAAATGCAGATTTTGTGTGTGTAATGTATTAGCTATGCAAACGTTATAACAATGAACAACAAAAGACTGCAGTTACTTTGCTCATACAGTGTGTTTCAGATCCCACTCTGAGGTCCCTGTCTGCATGAGGCGTGGAAACAATTTCTCCAGGCCAAATAATTCTTTTAATGACTGAACCTTAATCCAAAATGCCATTTTTCTGGCAGAATGAATCATTCCCATGTAATGCGTGCATTCTGTGGGAAAGCAGACATTGTATGTAGAAAGTGACAAAATGTAGTAAAAGGTTGTCATACTAATCATAAACATAACTGTATGCATTGATAATATTGCTAGTTCATAATGAAGATAATGTTATGGAAGCAGAAGCATCATGTCTGTGAACTTCTGAGTAGCATTAGCAAGATAACTTCATTAGCATTAGCTTGCCGGCTGAAAGGCTTTAGAATGCACTACTGTATATGGATGATTAAACATTTTACCTTTAACATTATAACAAATGTTAGCCTGAACTATGTAGCCAGCTGAAAAGGCATGTGCTCTGTGAGTTTATCCAAGTGTTTTCAGTTAGGCTAGCTATGTGCTAGATGGAAGGGTCAAATAATTAAGTATCAACCTTTAAATCTCGTTTGACTCTTTGTTTTAATAATTTAACTGACAATATTATTCAGTTATGTATTTAGTTATAGCTGTGACTTGTCTGATTTCAGGGCTCCATCATATTGATTGCATTAAACAAGTAATTTTTTAAACAAATGTTTGTTGACTTTATTTTGTGTCAGGGCTTTGGGATATCTATCTCCCAGCACTGTACTCATACAGTACACCCTGCTGAGCACACTTCAGATTTCACAGTGGTCAGAATCAAATCTTTGTCTTGCTAGTGATCTGTAACAACAATGCTGTACCTCTAAGGTGTTGACAAAGAATGGGTTCAAATTCCTTTTAATATAAAAGATGGGGAGTGTAGAAAACTGTACCTCTAGTGACTTAAATACCACACAACGATGAGGTTCATACTTTACCATGATGCACTTGAATTAAAGCTATTTGAAATCTTTAGAAGTGTTTTTTTTATTCCTTCAGATGGAAGAGTCCTGCAGTGATTGGCTGTATTAGACTCACACAGGGATAAAATTGTATCATCCTGTGTTGTATTGGCTGAAAATTCACTCTGTAGCAGATGTGATTTTTTCGCCTCCCCTGTAGAGATGTAATGTGGAACACCAGAGTGCGGTGTGTTTTGTCCATATTTAGACAGCCATGAAAAGATGAATGGACCAAAGCAGAACATTTTGCACAGACTCGTTCATGAAATCCAACCACATCAAAAGAATTATGCTATTAAAACAATTGGCATACAGCACTTGCATGCATTATAGAAACATGCTTTCTTGCAATGAAATATGCAAACAGCAGCAGTGATTCTTTTATTAATGAGAACTTCAATGTGAAAGATTAATGTTATTACTCTTCAAATGATAAAGAAAAAGAAAGAAATGGTGTGCTCTTTTTCCTAAAGCCAGAAAAATCTGGCTTTAACTGCTAAATGCTCTGCTATGTTCGCCAGCTAGTTGCTAATTTTGTCCGGATGGATGGCACACAGCAAGTTTTTGAAGCAAGTGGGAGTGAACCAAAATGGTAAAACTGGGAGCCAGTCTGTGCATTCATCATGACAACTGACCCCTTACAGTGTAGTGCACTGGTTAATTTGATTCTTTGTTAAAGCAGTGCCAGGTTTATCATCTTCCAGGAGGATGGGTAGTCAGCCATTTTTACTTGACCGCTCTCTTGTTTAGTGATGACATGAAGATTTTTGATGGGAGGCAGTGAAGAAACTCTTCAGCTTTTTGTGAACACACTGCAGCCTTTACACCTTGGGCTGTATGATGGCAGAGCCTGAGCAGACTGTGGGATAATGTGGGACTTTTGAGTGATGGACCTGTTGGACTGGCCCAGGAGCAGATCTGTTTCAGATTTTATTTTGGTGCAGCTGAAAAACCTTTGCAACACTGACTTAAGGTAACACCTAATAAGGCATACGCCACCAGTAAACAAAGACACCTTCAGAAATGTTTTCTCTCTTTTTGTGCCCTTTGATCCTTGCATGCTGACTCCAATACCCATACATGCACTCCACTGTACTGAATTTATCCACTACTTTTGGTGTGTGCTATTAAATCAGGCCCTGTGAGCTTCATTAGTCACAGCCTGCGCTTTGCTTGCTGAAGAGGACCTAATGATCCATGTGCAGGGGTGGACATAATAACAGGAGCACTTAACAATATAATTGTTTTTTGAGGGGTTTTGTTTGGTATCACAAACACTTTGCGATTTAAAAAAACACCTTTCTGTTTTGCTGAGTCAGATAAGGGTTCATTAATCTCTGACAGTTAGCCCACTCATCCATCTTTGCACCAGTCCAACACATAGTAAGAAAAATAATCTCTACAGCTGCTGGCCAAATAATGCGCCACCGCCCACATTAAAGATTTTAGTGTCAAATTAAAGTGTCCCAGGAAAGAATAAGGTTAATTGGATTGCGCTGTTGACAAACACCAGTTTGTCCCACAATGAAATGCATAAAGGAAATGGAGTGAATAAATGCCTTGTACACAGGAAATATCTTTTCCATGAAACCAGTGAAACACTCCAGGTGCCTTTCTCTTGTACTACCATCTGCCCAAAATGGCAACTTTGCTTACAAGTTATAATCTAACAGGCCTGGTGTGTAAAGTATCCTTTGATTTTTTGTTTTTCTGTGGGTGTAATGATGATTTCTGCCTCAAGGTGCAGCTATTTAATCTGAAAGGAAAGAACCAAAGATTCTCTGCAGATGGTGAATCTGCACCGCACACCTCTGAAAAAGTCTCAAGTGCTGGGTGCTCTCTCTTTACTTTACCAAAACATATATTGCCTGCATGTCTGGGCTTTAAATCATCACTTCCCTCCTTTTTGGTCCCTGCAAAAAAAAACACAACACCACTTAAGCTGGAGTATTACTTTCTGGTTATGTACACGTATGTACACTGTATGTGTGTCACAATGAGTTCACTGCAGCCACACCCAGTTTCAGTTAAATCACAGTATTAGGACCCCCTCTGTAAGCCCTCTGGATTCAACATTCCCCCTCTGGTGAATGGAGGACCTTAACCTATAACATAATTACCCAGAGGCCCTTGGGGTGTGCTTAGTGTACTGGCAGCAAATCTCCAAAAAATACCTTCAGCAAAAAGAAAAACCACACCCCGTCCCTTTTATGATCCACCCCACCCCCCACAAACAATTTTCATACAGTCCCTGACCTCCAGACTGTGGGACAAGATCACTGCGTAACCATTGACAGACACAAGGCTGGTCAGAGGCACTAACATTGACATCTCTGCATGCACATTTTCCTCAGAGTTTGAGCAAAACACCTTGTGCTTCTGCAGCTGCACTAAACTATTCCTGTGCTCCACGCTTCCTGTCTGATCTACCTATCTGACCTCACAGGCTGCCCTACATCCAAAGACCTACTTAACAATGATAAACTTGATGCATTGAGGACAGTATCACAGGGATGCATTTTACCGTGCAAGCTTAAGAGCTCTGGCCAGCACGCACATATTTCAGTAACTGTGACCGTAATAGGCTCCCTATGTAACGATTAAGACTAAACTTTGCGTGTTCATGCAGCAGAAGTATCACTTTAACATCAAATTGCATTAACTTAGTTTAAACATCTTGTGGGGGGTGGTTTGTTTGACCTTGGTAAGAAAATGAGTAGTGCCAACATATTTAGATACATAGATTTGCTTGGGGGCTACCCAGCACAATCACACCCCCTGTGCAGAGGCAACGTGAACTTAACCACGTTGATCCTGGACTTGACAAAATGCCAAAATATTCACTTGCAGGCTCAGACCGTATGCTATTGCTAAATCTTGTTCCTTTTACAGTGAGTTCAATGCTTTTTATCCTTAGCAACTCTGTTCTGTAGACAACCCTGGCCTTCGACAAATAAAACAAGGAGGCTGTCTGCAAACTGACTGAAATTTGTAATCCAAAGTTTTATTGACACAAAATTTTTACCTGCAAGATCTTTGACAGGCAAAACGTATTTTCTTCTAAGTTGACCGCTTTGTCCTGGCACAATTTTGTGTATTTATGTTCTCCTACCAAGATTCTAGCAAGTATTTTCAAAAGAAATCTTTGCAGTTCCAGTAATTTAAAATAAGGGCATTTCACTGCACTTCAAACTTCCTTCTTGACTTTAAAACAGCTAAAACCTTACCTCGAGGTTCATGTAGTATTTGTTCTGGGTCTTCATATCACATGGCCTTAGGCAGCAGTTTTAGTTTGCCCCGCTGTCACGGAAATTTAGATTCACCTCAACTTTCAGCCAAGATGGATGAGAAAGACAATTTGTTTTACATTTAAAAACATCTACAATTCCATGACAACTGTGCCAACCTCATGTGCTGAGGAAGCTCACGTGATATGATCAAAACCCAGAAACGCTACAAATAGACCTTTAGGTGAGATTGTTTTGTCATGGATATTTTGTATAATGAACGTAAGACTCAAAGTCTTGGAGGGAGTGATAGGAAATGGTCTCATAATATTGTGTTTGTGCACATGCAGGATCCAAACAAACTGGGGATGCACTCATAAAAAAAAAAAAAAAACACAATGCTAGTGGGCAAAAACCAGGTGACCTAAGTGTACAGACAAAAACTGTCACTCATCAGTATAAGATAAAAACAAAACAAAAACAGCCATAATCAGGACGTGAGACCTGCAAAAAGAGAAGAAAAGACACCAGGTATGAAAAAGATAGATTTATTTAATGACAAATTAAAACAGAAAAAAAAGTCAAGGAGTTGAGGGAGAGCAGCAACATTACTGAGACTCCACATGAAGAGAAAGGGAGAGATGATTGGCTTGACCTCCCTCCCTCCTCACAGACAAAAAGAAAAGACCACACAAACAAGGACGGAGAGACAAATAGATGAAGAAAAACAAACCTTCAGAAGAACGACACAACTTGTTTTAACTACAAACACTGAAGTTTTAGCCACAAGTTTTACAACTGCCTTTTAATCTTTGTTTTTAAAAGTCATTACAAAAAATGATAATTATGATAATCTCCATTTAACAACAACAATAGCAACATTGTAACGGTAGAAACTGTCCCTCATTCCTGGTTGGGTTTTCAGTCAAAAAGCGGCTGAGGCCGACACTGGCAGACAGAGCGAAGATGGAGGCAGAAAAAAAAAAAGAAGAGCAGGGAGAGGAGAAGGAAGAAAGTGAGCAGGCTTTTTGCGACACACGTCCATCTCGTACGCACACACACACACACACACACACACACACACACAGAGTTCTTCTCTCCCCTCATACAAAAAAAAGACAACTAAAATAATTAACCCAAAAACCCCCCCCCCCCCCCCCAAAAAAAAAACAGACTTAGGAAATAAACTCCAAAAGAAAACTGACAACTGAAATGCAGTGTTTTTCCCTCATTCTGAAAAACAAAATAAGACCCCCCCCCCCAAACCTCAGTCAAACATGCTCCGACACACATTCATTACATCCACTATTACACTTGCACACACAGCCTGTAATGCAAAGAGCATGCGTGAGTTTGTGTGTGTGTGTGTGTGTGTGTGTGTGTGTGTGTGTGTGTGTGTGTGTGTGTGTGTGTGTGTGTGTGTGTGTGTGTGAACTCCGTGTCCACTTCATGAAATAACCAAATAAAAAAAACAAAATCCAGGGCTGATGTAGCTGACGGCCTTCTTAAATCCACACAGTATGAGAGCAGAGTCTGTTCTAATAACTATCAACGACGACAGTCAACTATTTAAAGAGCATCCAATGCACAATCTTTAGCCTTGGGTGGACCGGTAGGGGACCAGGTGTGGGCCGGAAGGAAACCAGATGAGCCTGTCCGGATCGTCTAAAGACTGAGTTCCTTTACTGGAGTATGGGTGCTACAGCCATCCACGTCTATGGGTGACGGTTCCAATCCCAGCCATCGGTAGTCATTTCAGTCTGCGAACAGGAACTTCATTGGCTCTGGGTTCCAGTATGAGCTGGCTAACACATGAAACTGTGAAACCTAGTCACTGCCACTTTTTGTTGTAGCCCTACACGTGTCGGTAGCGTGTGAACCGTTTGATCCAGGAGGTCTGACAGGTACTGAGGTGGATTACAAATACTTGGGAATTGATGAAGAGGGGGGGGGGGGTCTATTCAGCACTGGCCAGGAGTCTGAGCTGAAACAAAGCTTGAGTCTTCCTCAGTGCGTAGCTGTCAAGGGACATAGTTGCTCAGAGGTGACCAGCCTCCAGCATCTGAGTGAATGTCAGAGCGCTGTAGTGTCTGAAATGTGTGACAATGACAGAGGGGGAAGAGAAGAAAGAGAGACACTACAATGAGAGTGGTGGGAAATCACTTGAAGAGACGGGAGTTTGACAAGCGTGTTTGACTGAACAGCTTTTCAGTTTGCGTCCGTGTTGATGACCATGAGAGGGCGAGACTGCATGCGTACATGAGTCTCACATATATTGTGTGTGTGTGTGTGTGTGTGTGTGTGTGTGTGTGTGTGTGTGTTTAGTCTACAGCCATCACTACACAGCCATGTCCTTATGTTTATTCATTTCTCCACTCATCTGTCCATTCATCCATCCATCCATCCCACCCCCTCAGCCTCCACGGCTGCCTGATCAGACAGTCCAGTTCCACATCTCAAGGGGTGAAGCAGAGAGAGGGGGGAGGGAGGCGCTGTGAGGTCACAACTGATTTGACCCCTAAAAAAATGCCCCCTGACAATCTGTAACTTTTTGACCTTCTTCTCTTCAAAGTTCTTAGCACATGGAGATGGTGACGTTGATGCCCAGGTTGCCGTTCTCCGCAAACAGCTGTGCGATGGACGTGTCGAACACCAGGCAGTCGCTGTTCATGATGGCCGTGGCGATGCCCTCGTGGATAGAGCGTGGCGTGGCCTCCCAGGTCAGGCGGCGCCGGTGCCCGTTGAGCTCCAGCCGGTAGGCAAAGTTCTCCGCTTGCTTGCGGGTCCCGATGAGCTGCACGATGGCGAAGAACTGCTGGTGGCCGTCGTACTTCTCCTGCTTCTCCAGCACCAGCATGAAGTGGAAGCCGAAGCAGGACTGCATCATTACCCAGTCCACCGCGCCCGGGAGGTTGATGTCCGTGGCTAGGAACACAATATCCTCCCCCTGGACAGACACGCACACAAGTGGAACAGGTTTAGTCATCATTTCTCAAGGCTACTATATAACAAGACATCTCTAAACATGAGAAGCATTTGAGGAAAATACTTTCCACAGCAAAAACAGGCTTTCTACTACTTTCCCAGGGAACCCTAAAAGTGCTTATTTTCTACACACCTTTCAAGCTAGTTATTTTGCAGAACGAGCTATCACAACTACAAATTAGAAAATTCTCACTTAACATTTATCAGGTAGCAGCCACACATAGTATATTAAACACTAGCAAATGTGGTGATGTCATCGGGGTAAGTGTGAAACAGATGGAAAACGCCAACTGTTGATGATGTCTGGGGAGTCACACATTTAGGATCCTGAACATGCGACAGGCAACAGCTGCCCCTTATGGACTGAACATGATGTGCATGAGTCTGATTGGTGGTCATTTAAAGGGGTTGTCCAGTGATTTAGTAGTGGATGTCCATAAAAGACTCACAAGACACAGTCAAAAAAAGAACGATCAAAATCAAAAAGCAACAGCGGCTGAGGTACACTGACAAAGTCCCTAAAATGGGCTGAGCTCCAAAGACACTGAATCCTACATTTCCCATAATGCAACCCAATGGCCTCTTTTCTTAAACTTCCCATGCCTGCTAAATGCTCACAACTTATAAACTCCACACTTATATAGTTTGTAATAATGTATTTGCAGTCTCAACACCCAAGCAGAGGACTATTTATACTACATTTTCTATATATGGACAAATCTCCAAAAAGAAGCATTTTTAATTCCTCCTGGGTTTAGATCTAGTGAAACAGCAAACTGACAAAAATCCACTCTTTACTTTTAGAATATAATCACATATATTTTAAAAGAAAGTATTTAGTCTTTGGACTAATACGGTACACAAGACAACGTTTGTTCCTTTACCACAACATATACAGATTACAAAACAGTTTAAATTTACATTTTTGATTTTTAGTTTCTGTGGCATCAAAGACACACTTTTGTCAGGCTGGTCCTGTTTCTAACAATGCCCAGGAGGTAATGTAACACTCCCTTAGGCTTCTCGTTGAAGGATTCATTCCTTCACCATGTCGTGAAGCTTAATTTACCAAAAACACAAACATAACCAAATGGAGATGCTACCAGTGTCCCTTCAGACTCATCTTTGCTTCTACAAACGACACTGTACGTCCTTGTTAAGCTTGGATTGAAAGAGAAGCTGAGGAGACAAACTAATGTCTGACCTGCAGTGTGGTGATGGACTTGTGCTGGTGCATCAGGTGAGGCATGACAGCGTCCAAGGAGCCCTGCCACTTGCAAGAGGCGCCGGGGCAGGGGCAGGAATACGGCCGAAACTCGCACAGCTCTTCGTGCTCCGTCTTGTCGGTGTGAGGCAGGGTGACTTCGCAGCCCGATGAGGCGTACTTGCAGGGGAAGAGGACAGAGTTGGCCACCTTCTCCATGGCCAGGTTCCTGATGGAGCCCAGGGGGCCTCGACAGGTGGGGCAGCATGTGAGCTTGGGCCGGCAGTTGGAGCACACCTGGGAAGGGACACAAAAACGAGTGTAGTAGTTTTCATCCTCCGAGATGTTCTTCTCAGACAGTGGGAGAGGATGCTGAAATGTCATCAGATGGCCAAGCACCCAAGATCTGGTCAAGCTGAGTCTTTGAATGAATGAACTGATTGGACAGACTGTCTTTGTAGCCACCATGAGATTTTTCATAAACCAATTTATCCTCTAATAGTGCTGTTAAAATCTGCAGCGTATGCCGAAAGAAGCATCTTCAGGGATGACTTTATTATTCTGAACTGCTTCGCCTACTTGTGATCCAAACTGTTCAGCAGACATTTACCTTCATTTAAGTTCCAAGAATTTGCCCTGTGACACTGTGGGGCTACATTTTAGTCTTTACCCTTTGAATACTTTCACATGTTAAAAGATCACATAATTAGTTTTAAATATCAAACAGTACTTTCAGCGAGACAGTTAGATATAGTGGTTAAAAAAAAGTTACTCTAGTAGAGGACACATGACCAAGTTACATCAAGACAGACAGATGTTTATTCCCCTCCGCAGGGGTTATAATTAGTAATACTAATCAATATTAAGTTAATTTTACCAACACCAATTTCTGAAGGTCCTACTGAGTGAATACTGACCATTAGATTAATAACATCGCAATTCAAAAAGTCCAATAATTCTAACGGTTGTTATGATGTATGACTGAACCCCAGACCTTATTAAAATGTTAAATTGCATGATTAATGTTTGTGCATAGCACGAACATACTTGTAGCTAGAATACTGAAATCAGTATCACCTGTGTGCAGCTTCTCACTGAGTTTAAATGCAGGACAATGGGAAACTATTTGTTTTTAAAACCCATGGTAATAATTCTTTTACAAAACAGCAAACTGTGTACAACACACACACACACACACACACACACCTTAAAATGTAGAGCAAGTGAGACACTTGATGACATCAAAAATATACTGCTTACAACTACAGGCTTTGCTTACTTTCCAGGCTGGATGGTACCTACCAGGTGTCCGGACTGGCACTGCAGGATGGGGGGTAGGACATAGTCGAAGCAGACAGGACACTCAAACAGGCTGGCCAGGTCACTGTTGGAGGCAGTGGTGCCTGACAGAGTGGGCACACGCTGAGAGGGGGGGCACTTGGAGGTTCCTGTGGGCAGCGCGGTGGCAGTCTGGCGACTCATTTCTGATAAAGGGAGACAGGGAGAGGGGGCTGTTAGAGGGTGACCTGAGAGGTCCCAACTCACTCAACAGAAATATTCCTGTCGCATCCCCATCCTGTTCCATGTACAAAAATTAATTAGTGTAAATTCATATTAGAACGCCATACTTATACATAAAAACTTCTTGTCCCGCCTGCTCCAGTCCCACCTAGAACAACAAAACTGACTTCCATCCCTTGGGAATCCCACAGGAATCCTAAAAAATGCACAGCACATTATGGGACACTACATCAGAGATAAAGTCTTTATTGCAGAGGGAAGCATAGACAATTTTCTAGACCCCTCCTTGTAACTTCTCTTTCTGACTTGCCGCACATCTATGAGTTATGACCTCTTAGTGCCTGGCTGTATACCTCTGACACATATAACACAGCTGATGGGAAACTGTTGTGGAAAAAGAGAAAGATGACAGGCAACTCTGCTCACTTGACTGACATGTGACTATGACATTAAATCTTATTTGTCATCTCATTTTTACTTATTTACCTTGTTGATTAAATAGTATTTAAATAACCACAGCAGTTTCAAATCCATGGGATTACCAGGTGATCAAGCTTTCATCAGGTGAGAGATCACAGCTTCACTTTAACCCCCAATGATCAAGTCTTGTCCTGGTGGGAAATACAACTGCCCTCCTCCTCATACCCTTTCACCAGCTGCACAGTTCAGTTTACATGAGGACGTGCAGGTACACGCTAAGCTTATCTACAGTCATCTGATCGGTGATGCTCACTAGGCTCTGTAGCTCTTGCAGCAGTACAATGTCAAGCAGAGCCACTCTCCACTATGTGTGTTGGCTATATACTGCATTGTTTAGCACACACACACACACACACACACACCACCCACCTACCCCATTCAGAATAAAGCATCCAATCTCTGATCAAATGTGACAGTATTATTACATTTGTCATGGATTCAATGGGTAAATATAATGATAAATGATTTTACATGATAAACGATTTATGTATTACTGTACCAAACAGTTTTGCTGCCTTAAAGTAGTAATCACTGTGGTTACCCACTTGTCTCAAACTAGACTAGTCATCTGACCACAATCCCCTGTGTGACTGTTGTAGGCTACGTAATCTGTTAGCACAGTGCTTCAAGCCAGTATGACACTAGTAACCACAGGCATTTGGATTTCATTTGGAGCCTTCAGACGGGGGTGGGTTTGGGGTGAGTGGGGCTACACCATCTTTCTTATGGTGCTATATGAGGAATGAGCATCTGCCCATCTGCCTCTGCACGGCCTGAGCCGACCATGTACAACAGGTCTATTACTGTACCAGCAACAAGTCAGAGCTGCACAGACTTTTAGTCACATACATAAAAAAAGAACCACCAGACAGTAGTGAACTCAGATGTGGCGTGTATGTGTGTGTGCGTTTGTGTGTGTGTGGAGCTGCTGTTTCCTATCATGCTGTGCAGTTGCCTTGGTAACAGGTTTGTGGTTAAGTATGGGATGGCCTGTGGAGCAGAGAAAAAGGAGAGGGTAGAGAAGAGGAGAGTAAACATGATGTGCAGAAGAATAGGTATGTGCTGAGGACTGGGAGCAGAAGAAGAGCTATTGGAGAAATAAAAAAAGGAGGGGGGAGTAGGGGGTGGGGGGATGAGACAGCAAAGTTTATTATCAAGCAGGGCAAGAACATCAGTGGTGGGTAGAAAGAGCTCAACATTTAATAGGGACATGGAAAAAGAAATAGAGGATGAGTTAGGAGGACAAAGGAGGAGGAGAGAAGAGGGATGAAATGAGTGAAAGAGTGGACACAACAGCATGGGTGTGGAGATAAAAAGGTGGGAAAGATAAAGAGGATGTTTCTCATATCAGGTTTTTTCTGGGCAGCACAGGGTTTAGGTGGATGGCTATGTCCCCACCTACTCTGCTACCTGGCATAGTTCATCCTTTTATAGCCCTACCCACAGCCAGACGCAGCGCAGGGAGAGCCAGAACAGAGGGAGAGAAAATGTAGAGAAGAAGAGAGGTCAGTTTGTGTGGGAGGTGAAGACAAGATAAGAGAATCAGGTGGTGAGACAGTGCAGCAATATGTAGACAGACAGGACAACAGCTGGGAAATTACCACCCACCAGAAAAATGCTGCCAAAGCTTTAGTCTTGGCTGCTCAATCAGCCTAACCTAGCAGCTAATGTAACAATTTAAAAGCTGTCAAATAGAAAACACTGCTGGATTCAGGAATATCATAGGTGGTCTTGTGTATCAGAATCAGTGTGGTTAATGCAGAATTTAAATTCTCTTTTAAAATGGGGTGTGTTTTTTCTTTACCTCTTTTTGATGAGAATTCAATGATTATTATGATGATTAACATTTTAAAGCATACTTTTAAAATCTCAGTTTGATCAGTTTTAGTCGTCTTAGCACAGCACTATAAAGAAAGTCATCAGTTTCAATGCTTCTACTGAGTAAGCCTTTTCAAATTTCAGTGATTATGATTTCCCGTTGACCACTCCCAGGAGGTTTTGGGCTCGCCCAGCAACCGTGAATACCAAATGTGATGCTTTTATCTACATCACTACTTGCATAAGCCTCCCTTTTTACTTCTAGCTTGGTAGCTGGCAGCTTTGCCAGTGCATCTGTCAGGGTAAAGCTTTCTGCATGCACACATGCCAACTACAGAGGTAAAGACTGGCCCTAATGAGAGGCCATATTAGCTAGCTGTAACTGTGCCTGCTGTGGTGGAGATAATGCTTTAGTAGCTATTAATAGAACTTCTTTGCTGGCTAGCATGCTAGCAGCAGCACTAAGAGCAATGGAACCAAATTAGCTCAGGACATTCAGCTAGGCTGAGGCCAGGGTCACAGTCAGCTAGCATGCAAGACTGAAATAACTTACACAGTGTAGCTTTATACGGGCAGTTACTAGCTTGGCAAACACAGCCTGAAGACGATGCTGTGATCAGAACTGGTGGTAAAGGGTCATTTGCTGTAGACTGGTAGCTTCATGAGACATAAATATTGAGTTTGTCTTAATTCCTGCTAGTCCAATAAAAATGGATTTAAAATAGTTGTTTTTTTGGATTGTGTGCATATACACAAGTTTGAAACTTGCTGGGTTTATTTGACAATTGTTTATTAATTTAAACAAATATTAGCCAATTAATCATGTGTAATGTTAACATATCTTCTAGTTCAAACAATTGGCTCTGTTCAGTTCACAGTGACACTGCAAGAATGAATACAACTGACCCATACCATGCACTTTGCATAATAGTGCATGCCCACATGTGATGTGTCCGGAGCCCAGCCCCAGACCAGCTCTTTGCTCTCCTGGCCCGGCCCAGCAGGCTGAACAACAGCCTCTGTGGATCGCTTAAGCAGTGTCTCCCCCTCCTCTTCACTGCGCAAATTGTTGTCCACACCAGCCATTATCTGATACATTTTTTGACTCCGAGTTGTTGCTTCGCTATTCTCGCTCTCCCTCATTTATAGCGCACTCATCAATGGGGTTTTGGCACAAGCCACATTTCTTTGCTTTAACATCCTCTAGCATAATACCCCAGTAAACTGTAAATAAATTATAATTTTTTTTAAATATTTGGAAAAATGTAAACCCCCATGCTTAAATAAGCCTCGATAGTATTTATGGTATTAGCAGATTTGTAGATCAGAGGCCAGCTGCCAGCTGTCTGTGTGCAGAAGTTTGTGTAGATTGGGTGTGGCTGATGGCTACTGCTGTCACGCAAGAGAAGCTCAGCTCAGTCAGCTGTCTAGCAGACTAACTGTATGGCTAAACACACTTTACTGAAGTAGATCAACACTAGACCTCAACCAGGAGCTTTGTAGTCTGAGTTGAGAACTTTTGAGTGACCCCACCCAATCCCACTGTGAGTTCATTGTTTCAACTATGAAGGTTTCATCTGTAATGTTATAATTTCAACTTCTGATTCACTAACTGCTTTTCACTAGAGATGCACAGATTTAAATTTTTTTTTTCCTGGCCATAATTCTCTTCTTCAGAATCCCCATTAGCACCAGCACAAACATGGGCTATTCTCACTTGGGTCCATGCAAATATTTGTTCATAATAAAACACAGACCATTACATAACTTTTACATTTTCTCTAAAACTGCAGCAGTAAGAGGACCTGCTCTCAGTCAAACACATCTCAAAAAAAAATAAATAAAAAAAAAAGTGCTCCTGCTTAAGCTACAGAACAGAGCTTATTTCTACAAATAAAGTGCAACCGAAGATGAACTGCAGAATAATACAGCTCAGGGTTTCCCACAAAATGACAGTGTAGGCTAATCTGCTCACCTGGCTTTTCCCTTCGGACCTGCACATCTCTCCCCCTGTATGCGTCTGTTTTGTTGAGATTGTTTGGCAGCAGTTTTATAAAGTCGCTCAAAAAACCCACACATTTTTTCATCCGCAATTCCATTTTTCCAGCAGAAGGTGAGCCTTGTGTTAACGACATCGGCTGTCAAAATAATTGAGACCACCGTGGTATGGAATGATAATCGGCAACAACAGGTGTGTTCACCAATTTACCTAGTTCGTGCTTAAAATACCCACTGTGTCTGCATGTTCTAACATAATACCAGATCTCTCTCGCTGCGTTTCTCTACAAAGGGCTAAAATGGGTCACCTCTTTGGCAACCGTTAACATACCAGGGGGGTCCATCCCAGTCAAGCTGCTCTGCAAGTTACAACTTATTTTGTCCTTGCTGTAATTGCAAATTGCAAGCGTTGTCTTCTTCATACACGGGGAAGAACTTCCACGCTGATGACACGTTATAGTGTGTGCATGCCTGTGACAAATGTCGATTTCCTTGCTATCAGCAGCTACAATAGCTAGTTGCCAGCACGTAAAGCTACAACAAGTATCAACACCCGCTAAAAAGCCAGTAGGGGGATAAATATAGTATCACTTGTTCAGTTGGCACATGCGGGGCTAAGAGGTGACACTGCCAAGATAAGTACAGAAAAGCTAACCCCAATGCCCTTTTGTTGTTAGCAAGTGGCTTAGAAAAGGCTTTAACGGCCTGAAGTTGGAGTCACAATGCTTCTGGGTTTGAGTTTTCACAACGTGGACATTGAAAAGAAGCAGCAGGTCATTAGGGACAATACCTTTCTAATGAGGCTTTATACCAAAATTATACATTCAGCAAAAAGGCACAATAAAAGGTGTGGGACAGGGAGGAGGGGGGGGCTGGGGAGACAGAGTTTGTGAAAGAAAGATGACGACAGAAGAGCAGACACAAACAACGACTTGGCACACGGTCCTCCACGTTAATGAGGAGCAGCATAACGGCAAAGAGGAAAGGACTGAACATAACTTATTTTCCTGGACCAATCAAGTATGCACATGCACAGTCCAACAACATTTCAAAACAAAAAGGCTAGAAGCACACAGAGACATCATGTTGCACACCTCTCTCTGTTTTGGAGAAAGAGCAAATGGTGCTATATGTTGGCCTAAGTGGTGCAAACTGGGAGCTCCAAATCCTCAAACACGAAACAAGTCAACTACAAAACGCTACACACAGGAGAATTGTCAACTGAAAAGGCTGTTGGAACAACAGTCATCAAACTCGTTGTAGAGGGTCAGAAGAAGAGGGTGGGAAAAAAAAAACACTAACAGCAATATAAATACCCACCTTCGTCCATAAGATTTCCAAATAAGGCTTTCGTCTTCTCTTGAAATGTGGGGACCTCTGAAAAGAGAAAAAAAAATGGTAAAGGTGAGCTAAAGGTAAACAAACAACTTTGAGAAGCAAGGGTAGAAAACACTGGCTAGGACTCAAAACAACAATAACCCTACAATAATCATGAAGTTAACAGTGAGTCAAATACACAGTACTCTGTGGTACACGAACATCTTTGTTCACTGGCCAGAGTGAAAGCCTGGTTCTGTCATTTCTGACAATGGGTATCAGAAATGCTTAAGTCAGTTGGCATATGAAGCAGATCTGATTTACATGATGGCGGCCTAATGTTTATGATTGCCATCTCTGTCAATAAGAGACCAGGAAGGGCTATGCCCCTCTTGTGCACTTCCATAGACTAAGCAAGCTCATTCAAGGCATTAAAGGCACTTAGAGCGCGACTAATGCAATGTAGATTAGACTAGAGCTCTAAAATCATTGATTCCCACTGTGCTGTCTGTTGACTCCACGCTGTTAATTCATTTCATAGAGCAGAAAAAGCTCCATCCATGAGTCTGTGGCTCCCAACTACTGTGTCAGGATCATAATATGCTGATGCAAATCTTTTCCAGAAGTGACTGCCAGCTGACTGAACTCTGTTCACAAACACAGTTGATAAACCTTTTCAGAATGGAGTCATCATTAAGGACATTGTTTTCCTAGATTTTTATCATGAGTGCGTGTCCCCACATAGTTGCCATTAGCTCAAGATAATCTCAGTCTAACCTGAGAATGTTAAATATCTGCCACTCATGCTACGATTTTAAAGCAGTGTTAGCTTACTGCGTTTTACCACACGGTCAAGTCTAATGATGCCTATCACCTAAACCTGCTGCGGAGAAGCTGTTTTCTATTGAAACAAACATCAACAGTCATTATCTAAAGTAAAAAAATAAATAAAAAAACCTACACTGCTTCAACAACTGTGACAAAACCCTGAAATACCTGTATTGGGATTAGAGGTCTCTCCTGAAGTGGTAAACACAATCATGATACATTCAGAATCTAGTCCTAGTAGGGCTGGGCTCATCGTCCATCGCCGATGGCTGACAGTCATCGACCACTGAGCCCTCTAGCATCGTGATTTGAGTGTAAGCATCTTCATAGAAAGATATTTGGAGAATTTCAATTTAGTCACAGCAAAAGGCATTTCTTTGCCATGTAGATGGCTCAATCCAGCTTTAGCAGATTTTACACTGTATTGTGCAACACACATGCGAGCCTACACATGCCAAAGATGTTGCAGCGGGAAGGCACTTTGCTCTTCTACTGTATTATGTGTGTGCATTGTCCCTGTTAAATAAACCTGAAATAAATAAATAAATACATAAATAAATAATCTTAATCTAATGCTGTCTAGACTACTTCCTGTGGTTAAAGTTACATTATAAAAGAAGTGTGTTTAAGGAGAAATTTTTTTGCACGAGCTACGTTGAAGCAGATATAAATGGAGGCTTAAAGCACAATTTTACTACAATATTTTTTCACATAGCAACAGTGTACCATGTGAGCACAAAGTCAAATAAATCTAGTAGGCTGTGGTGGCATCTATTTTTTCCATACCTTCCTGATATTTCACCGTGGTATACACACACACACACACACACACACACACTGACCGTATTTGTGTTAAAAAAAACAAACAAAAAACAAACATAGCTGAGCAGCTGATGATAGAAGTCGTTGTAGCATGTATGGCTTTGTCTAGCCTACAATGCTGTGTGTCTAATATGGAGTTAGCCTACTTAGACAACGGGTTTAAATACTTATGACCCATAGACTAATGAACAGATTCTTGCTGGAGGACTGGATGACACTAGTTGCTGTGGCGGATCTCGAAACGTCACTGGGCTGTACAGAGATTTTGTGCACACAGATTTATCTGTGTTGGCTGGCTCAGCTTTAACACCGTACACTACATCACCTCAACATCACCATATCAGTTTAATACAAAGACAGGTGACTGTAAAGAAAGTCATACCACCAGGATTTCTACAAACCCTGATATACTGTAATGCCTTGATACCAAACTGCTGCTAACTATAGGCCATTAGCTAGTTAGCGGCCCTAGCAGCGGACTCTGCACAGACTTGCTCAGTGTACCGGGGGAGTGCTGATGTTTTTTTACACCACTAGCACAGGAGCTTAGGACCACTGGGAGGAAGAGGTTTTCCTGGACGGAGCACAGGCTCCGAGACCAATAGAGGCCAGTTTGACAGGGAAAAGGTGACAAACAGTGGATTCAGGGGGGACAGGAGAGGCATCAAGCGGAAGAGGAGCGAGTTTATAGAGAGTTAATTATGAAGTTTACATCATCCATCGTGTTAAAAAGTCTTTTGAGTACTTGTTGTGATGTTATTTATTCCTGTGTTTTTAAACAAGACTTGTGATATTACACTGTGTTGATACTTGAAATCCACTCTCGTCATTAATAGACGGCTCGCATTGTGCCCCTTGTATATTTTAAAGGCTCATTATTACAGTTTTGGATTTTTCTATAAATGTAGCACTAGGGCTGGACAATAAAAACAATAATTATTGCAATATAATTTTTTTAAATAACAATATAACAAATGTTCAATAAATATTCAATAAATGTTTGATTATATTCATACACAAATTAGGACTTAATTTTTTATTAAGATGGTTATTTTGTGGAGGAAAAAGGATTGAAAAAATTAAAGTTAATTTTAATTATGTGTAGATTTTATCATAATTGTTTTGAATTTTCTACCTCAGATTTGTGAAGTGATCCATTGTTTGGCATCAAGTATTGACCATAAAGATGAGTTTAAACCACAATTAACCATCAGGTTTCTTCAAATTTCCTTCAGTAGCAAAAATGAGCCTTTAAACTCAAAAGAAATAAAGATTTGATACTTTGAAGGACATGAAACTTTTTATCGTGATAACATTTTTGGCCATATCGTCCAGCCCTATGTAGCACAGTGTTGCACAATGTTACTTATAACATACTTTGTCAGCCCTGGAACAAACCATTTTCCGATGCCCAAAATAAGGTTAATAACTAAATTAATATCATAAAAAGGTCTGACAACTAGTCGACTAATGGCTTGAACTGTTACTAGTCAACTAGGAAACTCTTTGGTCGAGAGGAAGAAACCTTAGAGGTCACAAATTGTGGAGGTGGTCTCTACAGCAAGTAATTGAACTACTGTCCTTCACAGGGAAAGATAAAGGCATTTTGAACAAATATTCACCTCTGTCATTTAAGAGTTTCACTTATATTTGGTAAATTAGCATTTAAGGCTGTTTGTCTCAGATCACACTGGGGGGGGGGGGGGGCTGTTACACTAAAACCTTTCACAGCATCAGAAGGCACAACAAAACTTTGTTTGGTACTACTGTGCATTAAAATACTCATTTGAATACATTTTTGATCAAAACAAGGACTGTGGATTTTGTCCCCCATTACTTATACTGAAGGTGCATTAGGAAAGAATCTCTTAATGGCCTCTTTGAACAGGAGGTATGATCACAGCAAGCAATAATGTTTTGCAAACCCACAGACATCGTACTTGGAGAATTGGATTACTGAGTGCATGTAAACATAGCCACTTCTGGGCTAATGGAAGAGCAAACATTAAAACATCCGTCCTGGCGGGAAAGTGAAATCGATTTTGATGCATCCACATTTCTGCTCATCAAAACAATAAAAACCTTTACTATTTCAAGATTATTTTGCAAGTCTCCCTTAAAAACATGCGTGTGTGTTTCTATTCCACAGCAGAGGCATCTTATGGCGAGTTTATGTCTGACGTCAATCTATCCAAACAAAACTACTCCAAAAAGCTTTCAAAACAAAAAATTTGGGTGACTACCATTTACTATAAGTCACCCAAATCAATCTACAGCAAGACCCACCCATTCACATGCTACAAGACTGACACATGCCTTCAGCTGGGTACGAAAGATCCTGAGAAACCACTGATTATACCACTGAAGCCCAGAAAAGTGAGAATAAAACAGAAAGAGACACAAAGGGAAAGAAACAAGTAGCGAGGAAGGAAGAGTAGCAAACAATTGGAGGAAAAGATAAAGATACAGAAAGAGGATTTGGAAGAAGAGAAACAGGAGAAAGATGAACAGTAGAGGGGGAGGCAGAAAAGAAGCTGAGCTTCAACAAACATGCCATTCTTTGTTCGCAACTTGTGGCCCACTCTTTTCTCAGTCACACACGCATTGTAAAGAGTTCACACACACACACACACACATATAATTCACAATGCACACAGGCATGCTTGCTGCTTAAAGCATCTTCTGTACTCACCCACACACAAACTATTCAACATACAATCCGTCACAACATACAGTTTTGTTGGCAAGCTCCCGGCACGCGCACGCGCACACACACACACACACACACACACACACACACAGCTAAAGCTAGACAAAGCACAAGAATTTACGACATTTTAAAGCACCTTGGCTGCAGGTACTAGGACAGCTGGCCTTAACACATAAAGCATTGTGCTCCGTCATGAGCATTATATTTTAAGAGCTCATTCACCTTTAGTCCTGTGCACGTTCCTTGTGGCTACACATGAGAAGAGTCTGAACAAGGAGTTCCAGGGCGGGGCTTGCAGTGCTACGCTAGCCGGCTTCGATTTCACTTGAACCAGAGACATAGGGGTAGAACATTCACAGAGCCCCCTTCTCTGGCCTTTTCCATGGAAACCACACACTGTTGCTTCTGCCCCAAAACACCACAAAACAGAGGATCACATTTCTCCCTCCTGGTCCACCCTTTAGGCAACATAAGCTCATGAGGCTGCGCAGGAAAACTGTAATGAAAGAATGACAGCTGTGTCCAAACAGAAATGCTTATTAGCTGGGCAAACAAAAAAAACCAAACAAAAAAAACCCAAACACACAACAACCAACAGCACAGCCTATGAGGGGATGGGACAAGACGACACCAGAGTGCCTATGCTGGTGTCTGAATCCAAAAAACTACAAAATATTACATTTTAAAACTCCTTTTAGTTAGTTAGTTCCTCAGTCAGTTGAGCAGCAAGCAAAAAAGTAATCAGACCTGCATATCAGGCCAAACTGAACGCCAAACGTACAAGGAACACCAGGCAGGTTTCTAAGTGCATATACTGCAGCACAGAGAAACAGAAAAAACACAAATTGAGTCAACAGTCTGACTGCTCCCAATCAGCCACTAGGAACTGAAGGCAACATGGGACAGTTTAGCCAAGTCCCTGTAGATCGCCACAGCACTGGATAATTGTCTTTTTACAAGTTTCACCTTTGTTCTTCCTGGTGCCAGAGCTTCAGGGACTGTTTGGCCCCGCAACACTGCAGCTTTTAACATGTGTATCTGCTTCCAAAACCATTTTACCAAAATTGCAGGTTTGCACCTCAAAAGCAAAATTCCCACGGCAAAAGAAAGACTGGTTTCTATGAAAAACAAATAGTACGTGGTGTAACCGTGCTGCTGGGAGAATAATCCTTTGCTGATTAGAAAAGCCCTGCTTTCTCTTGGTTTCCGGTGGAAGAGAAGAAGGCTCGCAAGGTAGGAAAAGGAGGGAAAGTCCCAAACAAAGTCGCTCTCCCTCTGACTTTTTCTCCTCTGCGTTCTTTTCCTCAAGCCATGTCTTTCTGTCCCCTGGAGTGTGGTAGGTGTCACTGCTGCTGGGTGTGTTTGTGTGCATGACAGAGAAAAGCTAAGCTGGCATCCAATGTCAGTCCAAACAGAGCATGCTCACTCACACCCTTCCCCTTTCTTTCTTGGCGGCTCCCTACCCGAACACATAACCCCTTCTTCTCCACAACACGTTATTTCTCTTTCACACAGAATTTTACTGATTTCTTTTTCCTGAAGTTTTATTTGCCCGGCATCTTTCATGTCATCATCTCTCCATTTTCCCTCCTTTCCCCTACACTTTCTTACATGCTTACTCTGCCTCGAGCCTGCATATTCTGCCTTTTTCTCCTGGATGGACATTCTCTCTCTCTCTCTCTCTCTCCCCCCCACACACACACACTTGTGTTTCTTTCTCTCTCTCTACCCCCCTCCCTCCACCAGGCTCTGTGGTTGTGCAAGTCTCAGATTTCAGCCTTGTCTGGCTGCGGGCTGTACTACCAGCTGCCCTCATTGACACCATACCTCACTTTCTCACTGCCTTTTCTTTTCACTCTATCCTTCTACTGACGTCCCCTCTCGCCACTTGCCACAAAGTAATCCAGTAGGTGTACGTATCACACTCACACCACTGAATGTGAAAACTTTGTTAAACCTACCACTGAGTTCAAGCATTTTTAAATTACAGATTTGCCCAAAAACCACAATATGCAGATCAAAACAATGAGATGTATTTCTTCTTCCTCATGGGGATTAAAATGACGACTGTTAACTTGTTACTTTCTAGAATCAGTCAAGCTATATTAAAGCCCCCTTCTTTCTTTTACAGGCTCACTCTCCTGCACACACTCTGGCTCCCTCTCTCCAAAAACACACACACACACACACACACACACACACACACACAAAACTGAGCCAGCCAGGAAAAGAAGCCCAAGTGAAACCCAAATATGACTGGGAGCCAGAATCGGTCTGTCAGCAGCAGATAAACTGATAGCTAGCTTAGTGCACACAGCTACAGAGACACATAGCAATAACAATGCATCATGGGTGTTTCATTCCCAAAGTGAAAAACAAAAACATCAGAATACTAAGATTTAAATAGCCTGGCACTGCTGGCTTTCAGGCAGTTTAAAAAAAAAATGTTTACAATTGTTCCAATCCGTGGTCCACTTGCACTGTCTTTCTGTCATCATACTTGCCCATTGTGAACCACAGCACTGACGTAGCGCTACCTTCTTTAGAAGCCACAAAGAAGTGGAAAAAGGCTTTCTATGAAACCCTCCTCAGGGCTCTACAGTGCCCTGAGAAGCACAAGTTAATCTCTGCTCAAATGTCACCATAAGGCTGCAACTAACCATTTTTGATAACTCTATCAATAGTTTTATTTTGATCATCCAGAGTTTCCCCTATACGCATTCAGGAGCGGCAGTGCACCGCTGCTGAATCACAACCGCTGCTACTAAAATTTCCCACAATCATTAAACTATGTGCTACAAATGGTTTCAATGCTCGGCTCGCTTCCTCTCCTCGTTCTATTCAGAACATACGTGACAGATGTTGTTATAAGAGCAGCATAACTCTGAATCAGGAGGTGCGTAGCGAGTGTTTGATTGTCCGAGCAACAGAAAGTGACGGTGAACGTGAGCGGAGGAAAATATTCTGGCAGTAAATGTACGGCGTCTGTTACAGTGTGTTAGCCTCTCAAGACCAAGGAAGTCTGTTGTTTCCTACCCGCTGGAAAAGTGAAGCCGGTTAGCGCTAAGATAGCTACCATCTCCCATTCAGACTGCGCAGCTGAGCAGGAAAACTTCTACAGCAGCTACATAGCTGCTGTGTAACTTAACATTAGCTCAATATATAGAAAGTAACTGGAAGCTGTATTTTATTACTGCCTACTTGTCCAATGTTGAGAACATCAGGTACAAACTTAGACTAAACTGACGTAGCCTGCAGCTCTGTCCTGGATAGACTGATTCAATTATTTTTCAGTTTTCAGTCTGAAAAGTGGTTTTGGAAAAGAAAGGACAGAGTTGACTGGAGGAGCTGAGTTTAGTAAAGCCAATTAGTGATGCAAACTAGTCCTTTTAAGCTAATGAGGAGACTTTTCTTTTTGGATTTTAGTGTGCAAATAAAATGCACCTCAGAAGGGAGGAGGTTTCTCATGTTGCCTATTTTTTATATTAATGTCTGGGCGCTGTTTGTCCTGCCCCGGCTGCTGAAAAAAAAAAAATCCTAGAGGAAACACTGGATGATCAACCCCTTTCTTCTACAGCACAATAAAACATATTCTTATAGAGATATGATAGATGACAAACAATTGACTATCAAAATAGTTAACTTTCTGTTGATTGACTGATTGGTTAATCGACTAATCGTTTCAGTCTTCTATCAGAGCCATTTCATCTCTCCCTGTTTCTTGCTAAGCATGCTACTGAAGCGGTCATCATGGCCTACACATACACGTCATACCCCAGTCTGTCTGGAACAATGCCTTTTGTTAAAAAAAAAACAAAAAAAAAACACTATTCTTTTTAATGGGAACTGCTGGATTCTGACTAAACAACCAGTGTGAAAGCACCTTTAGACTTGTTCAGCTTAAAAGGAGAAGACAGGAGGCACACTGCTGTATACCCTTCCCCATCGTTACACTACATCTGTTCACATTAGAAAAGCAGCAGAAAAAAAATAGCAGCAGAAAAAAAATAAAATAAAATTACAAAACACAAAGAGAACCTGCTGTGACACTGTGCGCTATAAAACAGCACTAGTGACACTAACCAATGCCAAAGTGTGTTATTAAAGGGGCAGGGCAGCAGATACAACAATGAGCCATCTGGACCGGGCAGCAGTTCACCACCAGACCCAAACACTTCATCACCTACAGACAGGGGGTTCCAACAGGAAAGAGATTTAGATCTTAAACACACTACAGCAGCAAATGTCTTAAAATTTGACATGCTAATAAAGCATCGCTGAACTGAAATTAAGGAAGCAAGAAACAACAAGACTAGTGAGCAGGAGATGTAAAAAGCACGCCTTGGCAGGGAGGATGTAAAACACGCTAGAATATAGTGCAGCACAGTAGGCTTGCGTGGCATCTGTTTTTTTATCCCTTCCTGACATTTTACTGGGGTACACAGTGCACACACACACACACACAGTGTTTCCCCTTTATTCATTCAGGAGTGATGAACCGCCGTCGCAGAATTGTGAGCACCGCTACAAAAATTTCATATGATCATTAATATCAATGGGCTGCAAATGATTCACTTATACACTGTATACACAGCACAAGTAAAAGGTGCCGTTATAAGAGTAGCGTTAACTCCATTAAGGAACAGAGCCTTGTGTGGTTGAGTGAATGAGTGGAGCAGAGGAAAAGGTTAGCATTAAGTTGTCAGTCTGGTAGTAAATGTACGGTGTATGTTACGGTGAGTGCATAATCACTGTGGAGAGCATCAAAACTAACTAAATTTTCCCAGATCAAATGATTCTAGTTCTTCCAGAGTGGACTTCTTTAGCAAGTTTAGTCCTAAGCTTTCTGGGTGTTATTTATTATCTTAGCTTTTCCAATTTTTTATTTTTTTTTTTATTTTTTTTTTTAAACACAGACATGGAAATAATAATTATCCAAAATGATGTGACATTGCATTTTTATGGAAAACATAACATCCAGTTTCACTTTAAATTAGGGATGGGTGAAAATAAAATTGGATTAATCCATTTCATTTTCCAACTAATGTGAAACAAGATAAACAAGACAAAATTATTGTCAGTTATTGTGCCATTCTGTCTTGTGACATAAATCACCTCTTAGGATGGGTTAAATGCAGAGAATGAATTTCTTATCGGGGGATCATTAAAGGGTAACTTTAGTTAAGCTCAAACTAGTCAAGCCAGCCGCCGCTTAGATTTTGATGCATTTACCTGTGCTGTTATGGTACCGGTCCTATGAAGGGATGAGACCGTGTCATTTCAGCAACCCTGTGTTCCATTTTGTACACAATATAAAAACATAATATACATCATATAGAGTATTAAATAAGTCTTCATTTTTTATTATCATCATCTAAGGCATCTATTATTTTCAGTTTAAGTTTAAGGAAATCCACTGCTAAAAAGACACCTTTTTCCAAAAGTTTAATAAATGCATAATGTTTCTAATGTCAATGTCAATTTCTGAATGAAATAAAAACAAACATCTCCTTTTGGGGGGTAATTTTGTAACTTCTTTTATTTTGGCAACTGCAGCTTGTTACCATGGAGAAGCCACACAGAGCCCCCCCCCACACACACACACAAAGCCTGTGTTTTAACACGCAGCATATCTGAGTATCATGCGTGCTTACGCGCACACACAAACACACACACACACACACACACACACACACAGAGAGAGGTAAAGCAAGGGACTCCCTTTGGCATTAGTAACAGATCTAGAATTACCTCACTGTTAGAGAGCCAATGAGTCACTCTGAGTGTCTCACACACACACGCCTCTCCTGCATCAGGCAGCTGTCATTCTTGAGAGGATGAGCTGAGCTCTGTTCGCTGGCCATGTGCCGTTTATGCGCCAGGACAGTAAAAAGAAGAAAAGACATAGAAGCTAATGTCTGCTGACAAGCTAGATCAT